GCAATGCAAGCTCCCTCAAAGTTACGTCCATCCTAAAGGAAGAATCAAATACGGTTTATAGTTGTGACCAGATAAATTATCTGACTGATATATTACCATCCAAGTTGTTCCAATGGAGTTGATTGATCATTCATCTCATCAAAACAATGGATGAACATCAGCTTGAGCAAATAATCTTCCTCCATAAGCAAGGGTTAAAAAGATCACTAGAAATAGTAAAGATTTGACGTTTAGATCGGTCGGAATAATAGTAATACATTATCTGCTTCCTTCAATAGCATAAATACTCGCATAAATCGTGAGCGTGGAAGCTGTACGCATTTTTTCCGTATAAAGTCGGTTTGATTGCTTCACAGCTAAATCTTATTTTTAACCAAAGTAAGTCCAATGCCCTCCCAATACCTCCGGGTCTCGCACCTCGGCCCTTTTCCTTGTTAAGCAGATGTGATAACCACTACACTACGAGGACTCACATAAATAAGATGGACCTTAAGTTATAATACAAAATTAGCGCTTCATCAAACGCTCTTTTCATTTTCATTGCTCATTCTGTCCCTTTGGATCTGTCCATCTTGATTAGGATTTTTCATTTTTTATCCTCAACTAAATGTTAATTTACTCCTGATTGCTGCCATTCTTCATCTTCTATTTTTTAGTTAATTTAATCACTTGAGTGATCTGTTTTTTGGTTTGTTGTCTTTTAACAATCAACAATTATTTTGGACATTTTTGCTTTTATTTTTCACCTTTTTTCCCTAATTTCATGGTTTGTACAATTGTTTCAATCTTTGACCTTTAACTCTAGATAACATTATAATGACTGCAAGTTGATTAGCTTATTTCTGGTTAGTTTGGCTCATTTAGTTTGTTAATTTGTGTTTTTTTGTTTCTGACAGATTAAACTTGATTTTGTTTTGCATTTTTCCTAGTAATTGTTTTAAAGCCTTTATATCTTTAATCGTTATTAATTAAACAATAAGGTAATAAAGTTGACTTTTAACAATCAGTTTTTTTTCATCATTAGCTTTAAAAGGGTTAAACGCGGCTGCACAATTTAAATCAATGTCAACCTTTTTACCAACTGATTTTGGTCATTATGTTTGCTTTAATTGTTTGAGATACCAAAAAGTGTTGTACAATTAAATAATCCACTTTCTCTATTTGATTGTTAGATTATAATTCATTTTAAGTGTGAGAGAATCGAAATTTTTACACTTTTTTTGCTTTCATTTATCAAGCCAATTGTTACATTTTACACTTTCAATTGCTTCTAATATTATCATTATTATTATTGGACTTATTATTGTCATCATCGATTCCATTAATAATAGTCTTCACTATTAGTTTAACAACAATCGGTTTCCCACGGAATGTTAACAAAAAAGTAGATCACACAATTAGTTAAATAAACTTGAACACCTAAAAATTGATCACAATGTTTAATTGTTACAAGTCGACCGCTGTTAACATTCAAGACCTTGATGTGTATCGTTTAAGTCAACAATAATAGACTAATAATTGATAATGATAACAATTGACTAAATACAAAAAAAGATCATCAAATTTTAAGAAATTCAAAATGGGCTCTTTTTTGTTTCCCGCAAATGCTTTGTTGTCAATGTTGAAGATCAATGGTGAAATGGTTAATCTTGAACAATTCAACTTAATGTCTTTTTTAATTGTCTGGGATTTGTCATTTTCATAATTTACTAACTGTGAAGAGTAACGGTCACATCAAAAGTGCCACCAACAAAAGGTTGTCAGGGGATGGTGACAATAAAGCGTTTAGATTGAGCCGTTTAGTGCTAAATGAAAGTAATTTTCTTGTGATGTGATAAAAATTAGGATTCGGGACTTGGTTCAGCTCATCTTCTTCTTTTCCGTATTAACCTTCAGGGTAGACCAATTATAATTTGGTGAAAATTGAAACTCATTTTCATTTATTTTTCTACCTTGAATCGTCTCTTTCTTCATGATCATCTTTCTGCCTTGTTATCAACGTTAAATTGAATATTTAAAGAAGGCCAACTAAATCATTATCATCTCCATCACCATCAGTTTCATTGCTTCAAGATTAAAGTGTATTAATCAAATACAGAAAGTTTCAAAAATCTTTTAAGCAAAGCAAATTAAAAATAAATCTGACCCCATAGTTTATCAATTTATTTTGTATTGATATTTGGCAAGTTTTTTTTTAAAACAAAAGCAAAGGCAAAACTTCAATTGATGATGATTAGTAAATTGTAGGTATTAAAAATATATCTATATATATTATTATAATATTATTAATGACTACATAATCATTTTTAATTCATCAAACTTGTTTCACTTTAAAATGCTTTGTACGTTCACTTTTTGCCTTTGCTCAACTGCAGTTGTTTTTTAATTTAGATCAGCTTTTGCATTATGTTGATGATGATGGCCAATTTCAGTTCAGTTATTAATGAAAAATGATGGTTTCGTTGAAAATGTTTGTGGTGATGACAGGAAGTATTATCAGCAACCTCATTATTAACATTGAATGGCTATTAATTATTGTCGTTTCAACTGCAAGAGTTGCAATTATGAGTTTAAACGATGTTAATAACAGTTTTGCCCTTTTGCTTTGTTTTCACATTTTTCCTAATTGCTGAGTTATTAGACAATCCAAATGTGAAATAACTGCAAAATCAGAATGAGTTTTGTTAAAATGTTGATTATGGTGTCATCACTTGGACAATTTGAAATTCAATTAGTACGTAACTTGTACAATCGTATTATTACCATTTTGCTTCTTCATCAGCACGTTTCACCAGGTGATAATGATTATCAAGTTGATTATGATGATTATGTTGTTGTTGTTGTTGTTTATACACTTTTAAATATGATGATGATGATGAAATTCACACAAATTTAATCATAATCCAGACTTGTTTCAATGTTTCCTAATGTGGACAAAATCGATTAAACAAAAGTGACAATGATTAGTATAAGGAAAGTTAATTACATTATTCTCGTGAGAAATGAAAGTTATGATATTAACCTTGTATTAATCCTAATAATCTAAATCATGATCATTATGGTGAACATCTTTCAAGATTTTTAGATCATCATTATCATCTAATTTCATGTTTGTCATAGTTTTTGATGAATGTTGCTGTTGTTATTTGTATTGTAATAGTTAAACGGTTGTTGAACAGGAGATGAAGGTAAAGAAGTGAAAAAAACACAACCAATTGCCTTATGAGAATCAGAACATGATTGTTGAGTCAATTGTTTTGATGATCTTTATAATAATCATAATTCCTCTTCACCCTTTTAACCTTTTTTATGTGTTCCATCATATAACGTTATACAAAAATTTGATATACTTTCATCTTTACTATTTAATCTTGCTCTTATGCATTGATCCATATCCATCCATCATCAGGTCTTAAGGTCATTTTCATGGGAATCACAGCTAATAAGAGAAAGGATAAAATGAAACAAGTAGAAATAGATTAGATTAATTGTTTTGATTGTTGGATAGAGAGTATTATGATGCTGAGATGATGAGCATGGTGATTAAAAGGGAAACTTGCCCCTTCCTGGTCAAGTGAGATCAAGTTAAGGTAAAGATACTAATGATAAAAAAGAAAATGGAAAGGAAAAAAAAGTAAAATTATTTAAGTCTTGACCTTAATCTTGAGATTTGATTCTCGATGTTATTAGTTGTGTGTGTGGCCGACATCGTGATTTACTTCACCTTATTTGATTTATTATCATCACCAGCAACAGAGAGACGATATTATAGTAGTGTTGTAACCATTTACAATGTACAATATAAAAAAAACCAGATCAAATTAATGAATATACATAAATTTGATTGTGATCAGTTAGTTCCAATGGCTTGATTGTAATGCTTAATAGACTTGGTTAGGTACATGGTGAAAGAATGGCCTTTTGTTATTCGCTCGCCAGATCAGAAGCTGTTGGTATTGTTAATGGTTAAAGATGATATCGATTAAAAAGATGAACAGGGTTTAAGGTTTTTGGTTGCCAGGATTGTGGTTGTTAGATTACTGCAATCCAAATCACCAGGATGTTTAATGTTCAACCAATCATCATCCGAAACAAAATCACGATGTTAACCTGATATATTATCAAACATTAATATGTATTATCAAAAGCATTTATAAATAACGTTATTATTATACTTACAATGTAATCTGTTTCTGTTATTTCATCTTCTTTACAAGCTACTTTTTTTCATCTTCATCCTCATCTTATCCTTTCTTTTTCGCCACCTTTTTTATCACGAATATAAATATATATATTTATATTCTGCATAATACCTTAATATCTTATACTTAAGTCAAATCAACCGATTATGAATTTGTAATCAAAATGATTGAAACAAAAATTGTTTACAAAAAAAATCCAGTTTCACTTGTTTCTCCTCTTATTACCTAACTACCTCAATCTATTAAATTGTATTCAGTTTATTCAAATTGCAAAGTTGTTGTTGTTGCTGCTGCTGCTGTATTGAAGCAAGCAAAAAACAAAAGTGATTGAATATGAATAAAATACAAAATTTATTGATTGACAATTGATTAATATATTAGTTGTTTCCACTAATCAAAAGTGAAGACAAATTAATAAAATTCAATTTTCAAACATTTCTCCAACAAACAGGTTTACCCAAAGAGTATAACAAGAGGTAGCATGCAATGTTAATTATCTTTTTGAGATAAGGATAGGGAAAAGGTCTCGGACGCGATGGCGCCACTAACAACCCTTTTAATTTTTCTTTAATTTTTTTCAACTTTTTCTCATCAAAAAATTTGTTTACATTTATTTTTTTGTCATTTTTTCGTCTCTTTCATCATCTCTTTCTCGCTGCTAGCTCCCTCTTTTCCGTCACCTTTTAACTTCTTATCTCTCTTATCTATAGCTCTCATTGACGTGCTCTCTCTTGCTATTACTCTTTGGGTTTACCAAGCCAAATACGAAGAGAGTGAAACCCAAAAGATTGACGAATAAAGATAATGGCAGAATGGCAAAGATGATATAATGATGAAGATGAAGAGGAGATGAAGTAGGGTGACTTAAATAAAGACGAAGGCTAAACGATGATTCAAATGATGATATTGATGATAGGTCAATAGGCTACTGAAACAGGTAGAGAAGCAAGAAAAAAAAGCCAAAAGGAAGAACTCAAAATTGAAGACACAATAATTACATTTCACCATTAGATATCAAGGTGATATCTTTGTACTCAAATAATAGACAACTAGAAGGATCAAATAATTACACTTAAACATTAAACTAACTCAAAAAAAACAAGTAAATCAATTAATTGCTTGAGGCACAAGAAAAAAGAAACATAATCAACCATTGAAAGTGAATGTTACAGTTGATCGTCTGTCTTCCTCTGTCTCGTCATAAGAGCGCGGTTTTTTCCGGGGTCGTTTACTTAATTGCAATCTGTTAGATGAATTAACAAAAAATTGATTCAAATTCAGTTTCGAATCAATTGATCAACTTTTCCTTTCTTAACCAATACAATGCAAACTATTCAAATGTTTAATCAATCATTGAATGTAACGATAAATTATTTCCAAGCCTGAAATTATAAGTAAAAATGAATTAATATTTTGTGATTAAATCGCTTTATCATGTTATACTTTGAATGGTATTGGAATGATAACAATAATTGATTCTCAACTGTTTCAAATAACATTAGATGATGACATTTATCGTTGCGATATTATAATACAGTTGTAATGGTATTTACATGTTCAGTAAATTGTATATTAACCCAACAACGCCTTTCAGTTAAACCAGTTAATAGATTCAATTTCATTACCAATGGCTTTCATTATTAATCATGATAATAGTTATAAAAAAAACGACTTTTCAACCAAACCTTTTCAATTTCAAACGTTTTCCTGATTAACTTGATTCACTTGAAGTTACAAACAAAACAAAAATGTGATCAACCTTGTAGTTGAATACAAATACAAAAATTTATTATCATTTAAATTGTGATTTAAATTGTATTCTGACCGACGCCCAAATCACGTTCATTTATTTATTCAATCACATGTAAAACACAAAAAAAATGAAATGTTACAATCAACTGGAAACTGCACTTGAAACTGATTGAACATTAAAGACTGATTTGTGATTTATTCAAAATTAACTTCAACAATTGAATGCTAATTAGCGGTTTATAATCGTTGATGGTTAAGGAGAAAGGTTGAAATTAACAAATGCATTTCCAATGAAACATTGAACTAATTTAAAGCAACACTTGCAGATGATTAGTTTGATTGCGGTCACAAAGGGTTTGAATATTTGATTAACATTATTAAAAACAGATTGATTTTAAACCTTTGAGGTTGAGATGAAAATTGTTGCTCTTGCATTGTGTGTTCATTGTCCTCACGTTTACAATTATTAATTCAATTGCGTGAAAAAAGTTGATCTTATAAATGAGAATAACTAAATTACATATTAATTTGAGGTAAAATGATTATTTGATTAATCAATACAAACATGAATATCTTTAGAGGGTTAAAAATGTAAACGTGAAAATGATAATGATATTAAATTATAAAATTTAATTTCCTGGTTAGATTGTAAACATTAGAATAAAGAAAAAATGAATTGCTTTAATTGTTCAGTTAATCATGAATTAAGGCCTAACTTGAAACATTTTTTTGCTGCTGTTCCAATGATAAGTTAATCAAGGTGACTTTGAATGATCGATTCATTAATCATTTGACTCAATCAAAATCATTGAAATCAGTGAGACTTGAATCTGTTTAAATCAGTCAACTTCAGACAAATCGATTATAAATTAACAAGTCAATCGTTTAAATTGTCTAACTAATTGCTTCTAATTATTGTATTAATTTATGTATTTGAACAAAATGATGTAAATGTTTGATTAAAACGGTAAATGGTTGACAATTTGAAAGTCCAAGATTAACTGATTACAGCAATTAGTATTTGTTTTGTTTGTTTGTGTTTCTTGACTCTTGTGTCACTGATTAACATCAGTTGTCCGTTCAATGATTAAGGTCAGTTAATAAGGCTTGCGATTGAAGATTAAGATTATTAATAATATTGATTTCGAGTTAATCATCTTTTTACTCTTCACCAATTAAGAGTTTTAACTTTAGGGTTTCTCATCATTAAACAATTTGTAAATGATTGCTTCAAGCTTTTTCAGTCTCTCTTCTGGTTAACCAGAATACAATCAACGAAAGCGCAACATTTCACTCAACAGTCAACAACAATTTGTTTTGTCAATTTTACTGTTAACAAATTGATTAATCAACCAGCAACAATTTCCTACAATTAGTTGATTTGTCAAGTTAATGTCAACCGCAACAACAATTTAAGAGAATGTTCATTTTAGCAATTTTATCCAATTGTTTACAAAATTATTGTAAAATCATGATTTAATTTAAATTCACTTTTCAATGATGTTAACTTAATCATTGGAATCACGATTTAAAGTTGAATTAATTTATTTAAAAACACACACAAAATGAATGGAAACAATTTAAATCAATTGTAACAAATAATATCTGTATTAAGGTTAAATGTAATTTCCTCATTTTTTCCCGTTCAATGGTTAGGTGAAATTAAATTACAATAATTTGATCAATTTCGTATAGTTGATCATCTTGATTAATTAATAATCAATCATCAATCACTGAAAATTGGGTAAAATGGTTAAAACTCAACGTTTTGTTTGGTGAAATTGCCAAAAATTCAACTCCAAGTTCAATTGATTAATTTGCTTTTCATCAATTAATTGCACAATTAACAGATAAACTTGAAAACAATTGAGACAATTTAACCTCTAATTAAAAGCTTTGTTCATTAAAAAATTGAAAAGCATCAAGAATTAGCAATTTACTGGTTCGATGAAGGAACCAGAAAATATTTTAATATCTTTTTTTTGCATATTTTACCCAAATTTTAGATTCCATAATATTTAAATTGTTTTCATTCATCACTTTCTGGTTTAATATCCAGTTTTAATAACAATTTAATCAACAATTTAACCGTAACCTTGTTCTGACTGGTTACAATCAATCTTTAACTTTCATTTTACAATCAAATTCCGTAGACTTGGCACACCAAAAGCTCAATTATGATCTAAATTAATTTTCATTTTTTGACTAATTGTAAACAATGTGGTTAGCCTTGGTTAACTTTCATGAATTTGTTCAACATTTGAAGGTTGATTTATAAATTATTTAACCGTATAATTGTAATAAAGAAAGATGAAATTCAGGGAAAATTCAAACCCAAATTGACCGAGTAAATGTAAAAAATTGATAAATTGTTGAAATTAATCATAATAAACAAATTTTTTGCTGATTAAGGTACAAAGATGATTGAGAATAGGCAATAAAACATGAAAATAACTGAATACTGACCTTAACGAGATTCAATTGTAATCGAGTGACCTTTCAAAATCAACTTGAATTGATCAATTACAATTAATCATAAATTGAGTTACAATTATTATGTATCAATTTCACCAAAAACCAGCAAATGTTGAAAAGGTTTACATTCAAAGGTTGATTAAAGATGCAAAACAACGCAGCGAAACATTAATCAATCGAAGCATTTGGATTGAAATTTTTGGTTAAAGTTAATTAATTCAAATTAGATAATGATTTAACAGCGAAAAATGTTATTTAAATTTAAACTCTTGGTTAAGGTAAAAAACTGTGTATACATTTTCAATGTAAAAATGGTAAAGTATACATAAAATGTAAAATAATTAAGATGATTCAACGTTAAATTGAACGTTAATGTTAACAATTTGATTTATAATTTGCCTCAAGAGATGTTCATTTAATGTTATTATACCCAAAGTTTAATGTTATCATTTTAAAGGTGACACCTTAATGAGTACAATTAGATAATCAGTAAAGTACATTTGTGAATATTATTTGGGAATTAATGGAAAATCGCAGTTGAATTGTTGGGTGAAGCAAAATTGTTGAAACATTATCATCATGTTAATAGTTAATCATTGCCATTTTAATACACATTTCAGATGATCATTATTGGAATGGTTAAATATGTGTAATTTAAATAAAGGTAAACTCTTGACCTTGATCAGGATGAAGATGATTAAGGAAATTGAATTTGGTTAATCAAGAGTAAAAAAAGTCTGAGACTGTGATGACCTAACAATTGAATCATTTTCAAGTGACCATTTTTGGCCATTAAATAGTAAAGCTTAAAACTGTTAAATCAATGAAATAATTTCAAATGAAAAATGTTTTCCTTCTCAATGACAATTAACACTGATTGAAATATCAATAACAATTGTCAATCAATAGCAAAACACTTTTCATGACTAGAATGCCATTGAAAGGTTTCAACTGAGAAACCCAAATATTGTAATGTTTAACATTATATTGTTTAATTGATGGCAACTGGTGATAATTAAATCCTTGAGCTAAATAATTGATAATCATTTGGCGATAATCAATTGATTACGATTGTAAGATTTGGTTGGAATGAAAAAAGGTGTTGAAAAAAGTTTGAGATCAACATTGAAAAGTAAAAGTGATCTTTTGTTCATCATTTACAGATTGTCCAGGCTTGATGTTTTGTATCACGAAATTGAACATTTAAAACATGATTAACATGATTGCTGATTGTTGTTAGTCTTGATGAAATGTTTAATATTATCACTAGATTGTTCCTTGTTTGTTGGCTTGATTGATTAAATTCATCTCGATTGACGAGACAAGTCACGAAAAGATCATCATTCTCAAGCGATTTAAATGTTCATCGTTAACTCGTTCATCGAGTTTCGACCTTTACCTGTTTAATCTTTTTTTCATTGTAAACTCGATACTGATGATGATAATACAATTGTGTCTGTAAATCAGTGAGAAGAGTCGTTTTTGCCATTAAAAACTAATCACGCATCTTCCTATTGCTGGCAATTTTAATTTAATTGCTGATATGGTTCATACTTTGAATCGTTAAATCATCATAATTATCTTTTCCCTCTAATCAACAGATTAAATTCAGAAGTTGTTCCTATCAACAGTTGATTAACTTTTTAGACTAACAACTGTATTTACCTTTAAGGTTAACATCTTGTGAAATTATATTTACCCTTTTTTATCCTTATTTGGTAGACCTTTTATTGATTGATTTTGTGCTTGTTATTAATTAATAGTAATTTTACCTTTTGATTTATTGATATTTAAATTTGCCGAAAATATTCTCAATTTTAATTCAATTTCAATTTGATTAATAGGATAATCAGTCAATATTTGTCTGTTTGCTTTTAATTTTTTGCTCAACTCAAAAGAAGTCAAATTTTTGCTCGTAAACTCACTTTTTGCCATACTTTTTGTTTTTCATGTTAAATTATGATTTAATTTAAATGTTTCCCTCTCCATTAATTAATTGATTAGGTAACAAAACGGAAAAGGTAACACATTTGTCTGGATTAAGCAAAGGTTCATCCAACAGTTCAGATGATTACAATGAAAATAAAGAGGTAACATATGAGACCAGTCTTGATGGTAATGTTGGCAATGATGCTTTACTTCAGCCTCCAATTACACTGCCAGACATTGACATCTCATCAGGTAATGATAATCATGCTAATAATGGGGGAATCGGTTCTGCTAATAGTGGTGGACGGTCTTCAGCAACAGCGGGATCTTCAACATCGTCTGATGGTTCATCCAGAAAAGATAAAGAATCAGAAGATTTGGATCTTCAAAGGTCACGGACAACTTTGAATAAAAATTTTGTTACAAATTCTGGTAACACTAATTTCAACTATCTTGACTTTAATGGTAACAGTAATGCCAATGGTAGAAGTAATTCAGGTCGGTCACTTTCCACTTTACCTGCTGGTTCACAGTCAACTCGCAATGATAATTCAACATTTAGTAATAACAATATTCACCTCGATGTTGAACCTCCTTTAGTTTCAAATTATGACGAAACTTCATCAACGGTTGTTGATTCAGATGGTGGTATCCATTTACCTGATGGCCGAGGTGGATTGTTTGGTATAAACGGACAATTACCAGGATTGTTGAGTGGTAATCAAGGCGATAAACGAGATGAAACAACGGGAGGAGGATCAGGTAAAGAGGTAAGGTCAATTGATGAGTCACGGTTACCAGGAGAGCACAGAACTGGTAGATCTTCAGATGATTTATCAGATGGAGGACGATTTTTAGACAGAAGACGAGGTATTCCTCATTACCAACTTCAGGCCTTAAGACAGGCACAACATTTTAGGCGAATGTCACCAGTTATTCCAATTATTTTACCCAAACCTGGTTCTAATGATGCATCCAATCCATCTGGTTCATCTTCCTCGTCTCCTTCAACTTCGTCATCTTCACCTACAACAAATATTGAAACCAAAAGGCAAGATTATGATTATGATAATTATCCATCTGAACCTGCTACTCCATTGATTCATGGGCCACCCGAATCAGGTTTATCAAGATCAAATATTGGAGATAATGGACGGACAAGAGGAGCCACAAGATCTTCATCGTCGTCTTCCCCCAAGAGAGGAGTTCATTATGAACCTTCATTCGTTGAGTACATTGATGGATCATCAGACAGACCAGGTGAAGGTTATTATGAAGAAGAGAAGATTGTCATTGATCATTACAACCAAGCTAGAAATAGACAACCACAACACTCATCAGCTCCTACATCAATAGCAAATATACCAAGATCAACTCCTACGTTACCTTTACCACCACCAAATAGAGGGGAATCTCAACCACCATCCAGACCCAAATATCCGGCGGTACCAAGGATAAATAGTCAGCCACATTTTCGTCCCTTTATTCCTCCCTATGCTGGTTTTGAAGAGCGTGCTCATCCTCAACCGCCTTCATCTTCAACAGGTTCACACAGACATCAACGTCCATCATCAGATATCAATGAGGATAGAGATAAAGCCGATGAAGAATTAAATGATAGGCAAGCTCCACCATCAACATGGGATGCTTATCCTCGCATACCCGATCCAACTCCACATCATGATGATCATGATGTATACTCTAGACCGGTAGATGATCCTCCCACGCGATATATATCTCATGAACCAGTTACAGAATCACCTAGAACTACAGAGCCAGAAAATAAAAGGCTGGCTTACCCACCATCAGGTGGCCCATCAATAAATCCAGCTTCAAATCGTAAGCCTGGAAGTGGACTACAACAGCCAGCAACATCACCATACCATCAACCAGGATTATCTGTTTCAAGAAATCGACCAAGAACTCAATCATTTAACAGTGGATCAGCGGCAGGTGAGCATTTACCTAAACCTAAACCTCAACAGCCACCACCACCTCCTCCCACACAGCCTCCGTCAACTACAACTACAGCAAACAGAGTGCGACCATCAAATCAAGATACTGCACCACGATTACCAACAGGAAGTGGTGTTCCATCGGAGCACGGGCAACCATTTGGGTTAGTTGACTATGATGATGAGTTATCGTCTGATCAGCGTTTCCCAGTATCCGGACCAATTATCGAACAGCCACAACCACAACCACAACCCCCGCCACCTCCACCACCACCACCACGAACTCGCACACCAACCACAACGCCGCCAACAACAACCGAAATAGCCTTGGTTGTGCATAAACCTCCAAGTAATCGGCAGAGGGTGAACTTTACTCCCATCAATTTACCACCTCAAAGTCAACCATCAAATCCTTATGTTGGAAATGTTAATGATCGATCAGCTCGACCAACATCATCCTCTTCAGGATCATCAACAGGGTCAAGCTCATCTTCCTATAACTCAGCCAACAATGACCAGGGATCAAACCGTCGTCGTCCAAGACCAACAAATAAACGTTTAACGGTACGACCAAAGGTAACCGGCCCACCAACTCTTCCCTCTAGACCAGCCAACCTTTACCCAACCGTTGAACCAGGAACACCTGCAACAAAATGTGATCCAAGAGTTTGTCGTTTACCCGATTGTAATTGTGGTAGTGCATCAATTCCTGGAGGTTTAAAACCATCTCAAGTACCACAAATGGTGATGATAACATTTGATGATGCCATAAACGATCTTAACTGGGAAATTTACGAGGAAATATTCAATTCAAAGAGACGCAATCCAAATGGTTGTCCACTTTTAGGTACTTTCTATGTGTCACACGAATGGACAGATTATGGCCAAGTACAAACTCTATATTCAAGAGGACATGAAATGGCCTCACATGGTGTAACGTAAGTAACACAATTTAATAAAAATAACATTAATTGCTAACAAAAAAAAATCAACCTTTGACAAAAATAAACAAGACCAGCTTACCAAATATTAGCTGAAACAGTTTATGCTAATTATGCTTCCACTGACCATGTGATTAAGCCATTAAGCCGATTATGCTTTTACAGCTATCTGATATATTCGTTTAACTATTGATATTTAAATTGGTTAATCGATTGTTTTAAAAGTGATTAAACAAGTGTTTCAAAAGACCTCCAAATCAAATCAAATCAAATTGTTTTCCAAATACTAATGAAATGAGCAGTTACACAAAATTGTCATTAAAATGCAAATTACATTTTTAAATAGTGAAAAAATAATTAACTAATTTTGCCGCCCACTTTAAATAATAGGGGAAAATGAACATGATGGTAATGATGATAATGATCGTCATCACTTTCAGAACTAAATCAACTTTCCTTTTCGCCTTGAACTAAATTCTGAAAACTGGGAAAAATGAGATTGACAAAAGGATTGAAAATGATGATTAATTTGAAGAAAGATGTAAGATGAGAAAGAGAAGAGAGAGAAAATCAAGATTCATCTTTTCCTTGAAAAGCAGTTTTAATGAATAGTAGATGAAGATGAGGATGAAGAAGCTTGATGATGATGAAGATGCGTCAAAAATGATTCATGTTCAATGATTAAAGTGAAATAAATGAAACAGATTCAATTGATAGACACGATTATCATTGAACAACAAACATGATTATTCACCTCTTCATCTTCATCATTAACATCTTGATTCACTTTGTTTGACTAAACAACAATCCTAATTATGATACATTTGATTATTTGATTTAAAATGATAGTAATGATGATCACCAACAATTGATAGTGACATTAATTTTCATTGAAATGTTGAAGGTTACAAGTTAAAATATCATTTCAATCTTATTTTTACCTGTCTCACTGATTCAAAATAGTCCAACATTAATCATAATCAGCAGCAATTTGAATCAACAATTAACTTAAAAGATTACCTTTCCATTGAACTTGATAGTAACTTAAGGTTACAATTTTTACCTTTTTCAAACTGTTGATCAACTCAGCCTTTTTTATGGCTAATTGTTACATTTTATATCAAAACAATCATTTTCATTGCATCTTCAATTGTAATCCTTCAAATGGTTTACAATTGTCTGAATAATTAACCTTGCAAGTTAAACATTTCAACTAATCAATTGACTTGTATGCTAATTCATAAAGTGCTATTGTTTCACCAGTTGACTAACATTTAACCCAACTTTTACAATTTACATTCAATGATTAGCAAAAGACTTACTAAAACCTTTCTTACAGGTAAAATTGATTTTATTATCATTAATTGAAAATAGCAATTCAATAATACAAACATTATTAAACTCCCAATCAAACTGATTATCATTACAATCGACATTTTTAAAACATTATTAATAGACAAAAATAATGGTTTATCAATGAAAACAGATTACAATTGCATTAGCTAATAATGTATATCGTGAAAAATGTATTAATAAATGTTACCATTAAGTTAATATTGTTAAATTAACATTTAGTAGACTAAATGCGAAACAACAATTTAATGAACGAAACAATCGAGACTCTGATAAGGAAAACAATTTAATAATAACGAAAAGACTATCCTAATAATTGTTATAATTGTTCACCTTAACTTCCCTTAAACCTTTTATTTGATCATTGGAGAGTCACTGATTAACATATTAGTTTAATTATTGGCAGTGAAAAATCAGTGAATTTGCTCTTTGTTTAACTCTCATCTTTTTTATCATGTTAATGGTGAACGTAATTAAGAGTCTACTTGAATACAATTTAACCGATTCTCCGATTAACCCAAGATTGAGTTACATTTTTCGGTTAAAGGGTGAGCCGATTTTATCATCACAATTAACTCTTGTTATAATTGTTGTTGCTTATTGTACATTATCATTATTAAAATTATCAAATCATAGACTTTGCTTGTTGGTCCAGTTTTTGAATTAAAGTTAAGTCCTAATTTTATTGTTAACAATTAACGATTCTTTCCTTTCAGTCACTTTGTCTATTCCAATGGCAATTGTATCATTACATTTCCGTATCAACAGTTAATCATTTTAATTGCCTTTTTAATTATTGTTTGATGATTACTTCATTCCAAATGAATGGATTCAGTGATAAAAATTTAACTTTAATTGTGCCACTTGTCACAGTTTACAGTTCAACTTCAATTGTTGTTGCTTTAAAGATGTAAGGTTGAGGCTAATTTAATCATTTAAATCAATCTCTTTCAGTGTATCATCATTATTGTAATCATGTTAAATCATCTCAATTTATTATAATTACAATTAGAATGAAAAAATAAGGTTGAATGTTGGAGAAAAAAGAGAAAGTTGATTTGATTAAATGTAATGATTAACCATCTTGCCTGATCAAAAATTAGACCTTTTTATGTTTAATTTTATCTGATTTACCTTTCAATAAATCTTGCTGGTTAATTGTTGTCTCTAAAATAGATTTGGTTAACCTTTTTGCTTGTCATTAATTTTGCTGTTTAAGCAAAAAATTAATGAATTGCTGAGTAAATTGTTGAGTTAATTTAGTTAATGGAAAACAAAAATATCAACAAAAAAGATTCTCATTTTAAATGCGATGAGTCTAAATCTCATCTTGATCAACAATTAATTGAACTTGGCTTAAATAGCAATCAAAAGCCTCAAATAGTTTTACCTTTGATTAAAAAGGTGTGAGACTGATTGTTGAGCGAGAAAAAAATATTTTAATTTTTGGAGGCTCAACAATTTAACTGTTGATCAAATGATTACAATTGTGTTCAACTTCCTTAACACTTTTACCTTTCACTTTTTCACTGTTAATTTAATTCCAGCGTAGGTTGATCACTAATTAATGCATCAACTTAGTCGGTGATAATTAAAGCTCATTAAACTTGGAAAATTTAAATTCATGTAAAAATGTATTTATAACAAAAACCAAGGAAAAGGTTGGAAAAGGTTTAATTTAATCAACACAGAATTTTAAATTACCTTTTCTTTTGTTATCAATCAAATTTACTAAATAAGCTTCATAATCATTATAAATTTGATGCTCATTTTGAATCTTTTGTTTACTCTTCAAGTTTCATTTAAAATTTAGACCCAAATTTGATTATTAACAATTAATCGTTAAATGTTACCCAATGAAAACACCTTCACTTTTTTTGTTTAAATTAGTTGCCATCTTGATCAATCAACTTAATTGTTTGATGAATCCAATTCTCTGGCCTTATTGTAGTCTGATTATCTGACTGATTGACTGAGAAACCCTGCTGAATGGAGAAGATGATTTAGTTGTTAAAGATGATTCCTGTTAATCATTATCACCAGCTTATTGTAAATCACAATCAAACTAGAATCAAACTAATCACAACTGTCAGCTTTTCATTGTCAACACTCGAATGTGATGTTTTGTTCACTTCTCGAGTTTTACATTCAATCAATTGGAATCATCAAATATTGCTTCTTATCCATTGTTCAAATCAAAACAATTAACCAGGCTTTTAGATGGTTAACTTCAAACAATATTTGCACTAATCACAATCAGCTTCATTATTGGAACCAATTTTTTTTCAGCCAAACTTCATCTTCAATCCTTTCCTTATTGTATCTAATATTTGATGAAACAAAAGCTTAAGCAAACAAACACAATTAACATAATTTTTCATTTTAATGTTGATTTGTAATTAGTTTAGGTTCAAGTAATTAACCATTAGCAATTAAATATTGATATTGGTTTGAGGTTGCATTCAAATGAGAAGCCAAATTTTCAATAGTTGCTGGCTTTAAGCTATCATGTAAATGTGTTAATCAATGCAATTACTAGAATTGATTGTTGGCTCATTTTTGAAACAATCTTTTCCATTTTAACAATAACGTTTAGTAATGTTAATATTGTGTTTTTTAATTGCTAACAATTAAGGTTTGAAAAGAAAGAAAAAAAGAGTAAATTCGATTCTCGGAAATATCATTCATTTTTTGCTTTTGTTGTATTTTATATTTCAATTGTTACCATTATCAACACCGATATTATCAGCATTATCTTTATTATTACCATCATCATGACTATTATCATTATTATTTGATTCGTTCATCTTTAACATCTTCTAACTGTTCGCCTGATTAACTGTCAAATTAACGGAATTGAAATGGTTGACTTGGTTAAGGGCTTCAACCAATTTGCTTCAATGGCTTTCAATGGCTTTGAGTGTGAGTGTTGAGTGTAACATAGAGATTAGGAAAGAAATGTTTAAATATAATAGTTAATAATGAACATTAAATAATCGGCTGGATGGTGATGATGATGATGGTGATGAGTATACAATCAGTTAAATTGTGATGATTGATACTAAATATCATGTGAAAATAAAATTTTCAACATTTAAACTCTTTTTCTGGTTAACTGAGAAAGTGAATCGATTGCAAGTTGTCAATTGTCAGCTTTCAAATTCCTATCATTTGGCTTCATCAGGATGGATGGTGAAGATGGATCAGTCAAAAGTTAAGTCGTATGATTGAAGATAAGATGATGGCGATGATGAGGCTGAGGCTGAAATGAGATTGAAAAAAAAGTGTTATTACGGTTTTTAAAATTGATGACAAAAACAACGATAAAAATATTAATGAAATGATACCAAAAACAGTGAAAAATTGTAATGAAATAAAGTTAGTTAATGATTTTGGTTCCTTGCTTTTTCATTTAACTCACTTTTTTGCGAGTGTTTGATGCTTTTTTTTATTTAATTATAAATTTTGGTTATTTAGTTGATTACCTTGCAGGCGAAAGGTAATCAGCTCAGAAATACTGTCAGAATTGAGAGAAATATTTACGGAAATTTGGTTTCTCTCCTTTTTGTTCAAACTTACACTTATCTTTTTAATTTCATAAATATATTTATATATAAATTTATAAATATAATTTAATTTATAGAAAGTTATATATTTATTCATCCCTTAGTTTAAATTTTTATTTACATGTAACTAAATTTAAACACCTCATCATTAACTAATCAACTGTTCATTAATAAACCCGAATGGTTATCCTTTGTTTACTTGGTTTCACCTTTTACCCGAAAAGGTTAGGCTAATTTACATCAATTGGTTTACTTTTAAATCTATTTAGTTGGTTATTTGGATAACAATTATTCAAGTTGATCAAATTGTGATTATCACAATAATTGTATTTTGTTAGGGATTGTATTTCAATCAAATATCTAATCCATTATTTGATTAGTTTTGTTTGTAGGTTAAAAATTGAAGCAAATAACCAACAATTGTAAGGCAATTTTTTTTCTGGTAACTGCAACTTTTTTTTTCCTTAAACCATTACTATTTAATAACCACCAAATGGTCCTAATAATCATTGTTATTACAGTATTATGGTTAATGCTATTGTATCTTGTATTATCATAATTACCTGTTATAAGTGGAAATTTTCTAGCCTTTATTTGAATAACGATAATCTCTCCAATCAATTGGCTGCTAATCATGGTAGTAGCAATGCTATTTAAAAGCGATTTACTCAACTGGATCTTGTTTCTTTTGAATATCGAACATTTAATTGTACCACAATATTTTGTATATTTAATTCATTGTCAATTATACGCAGTTAATCAGCCACAAATCACAGTTTACTGTAAACAAGTGTATATTGAATTACTTCTGTACGTATTTGGTAATACAGGAAGAATGATCAACCAGTAAATCAGGGGCCAGTTCAGGGCTTAATAAATTGGGTTCATCAAGAAATTGGTTCATTCCAATCCATTGTTAGACCAAAATTTATCAGGTTCAAATGAAATTTTCCATCCAATCGAGTGTAAACTTGACTTTTGAATTGGGTTACAGATAAAAATCAACTATGGATCAGCTAATCACTATTATTACCCGAAAATTTTGCTAATTGCTGCGATACAATATCGTCCAGCTTTCACTTTCAATCCTCAGGCAATGAGTGTTGCTGATAACACGATCAGATTGTTGTTTATGCTTGATTGGTGATTGCGAATGTTTTGATAAGTTGCTGCTGTTCAAGTGGCTTTAGTAGTAATTGGACTGTGATAATTTTATTCAATGCACATTTACCTAAAGAATTGCATATCGGCTAACCTCTGCAGTTGATTTAGTTTTCATTTTCACGTTCATTATTCGTTACCTACAGTTTGTGTTGGTAAAAAAAGTCACCATTTTTTGTTTCTCCTTATTGGTGAACCAACAATTTAGGACAGGATAACAGTGTAACTGTTGGTGGAACGTGTTGAGCGACGATAATCTAGATTTTAAGATTGATAAAGCCTTTTTCAATCTTTCCAATCACTCTGCCTTTCAATGTCACCAATTGATGTAATTGATTAATCCGCCTTCAGCTGGGATGGTTTGCTTGATGCGACAATTAGATGTTGAGTCCTTATTACCATCCTTGTCATTAGCATAAATTTATAATCAATTGGTTACTATGATTGGTAAAATCATTACCAAGGTTGAGGGTTAATAACAGCAAAATTGTTTTATCCTCAATCCTCAAAACGGTTTGGTTTACTTTTGTCTTTAACTCCATTTACCTGAAACAAGATGCAACAAAAAGAGAGAAAGACAAATTAATTTACTAACAATACAAGCTAATGTCAACAAGTAGCTAATTAAAAATAGTTATTCAAAGAAATATCAATTATTTGGCTTTAAAATAAGACAAACCGTACAAAAAAAGCATATCATAAACGTGGTTGTTAATAAGCACAAAAAGCATAAAACTTACCCACTTGTGAGATGGAAAAGCAAACAACTTGAATTGAAATAGACACAGCTTTTCACCGAAAATCGATTCTTGGTAGTCTTATTGATTAGCATACAATTCAGGATAATATGCTTGATTATAAACCAGCAAAAGATTTAAATAAGATAAGTTAATTAAATAAATAATCCTTCATTTATGAGAAACGTCGACATTGAAAGTAAAACGGTTACATAAAAAGCAAAATGCATAATCATGTGATTAAAATTAAATTTCCCTCCAAAACCAAAAAAGGGGGGAAATGAAGGCGCTATTGTTTTTCAAACATGTCAACTCATTTTAATTGTCAGCCATTGTTAATTTTTAATTAAATCTTTATCATGTCCTTAAACCAGCTTTAATTTGTTTTTTTGGTGTAATTACAATCAAGTTTATTAACGATGTTTAATCCATCAAAAGGTTGATTTTGGTCACTATCAATGTAAGTCTTGTAAACATAATTTTTAATTTTGCTTTTCTTTCTTATTCAGTCATAGTTTTGGTGAAAAATTTTCAACCAGTCAATGGCATAAAGAGATTCATGGTCAACGTGAAATACTTTATCTTTATGGTGGTGTCAAGATGGAGGATGTTAGAGGCATGAGGGCTCCATTCCTGCAAATTGGTGGTAATAAGATGTTCCAAATGCTTTACAATGACAATTTTACTTATGACTCGTCCATGCCCGTGTTTGACAATAAGCCACCATTTTGGCCCTACACATTGGACTACTCTGTTAATCATGAATGTATGATTGCTCCATGTCCAACTGAATCGTTTCCCGGCGTTTGGGAAGTCGGTAAGTTAACCTTTTCAGTCTGCTCATCAGTTTTCCAGTCTTTCAAAAAACAAATTCTGACAATAGTTAACCAGCCTTGCTTAATTCCGTACAAATTTGATTTGACTCTAACAAGTTGCTTTCTTCTCTCTATCTCTCCCTCTTCATACTACTTGTGGTGCTATATCTTGATTTAATTAATTCAATTTAACACCAATCTCTCTCTCATCTATCAAGACCCTCTCTCACCTTTTACCTTGCTTCTCAAATGTTTAGTCTCTCTCTTCCTCTTACTTATTAATTTCAAGTCGGAAGTGATGAAGAAATGATGAACATTTGATTGAGACACTTAATGAGAAATCGAGAAAGCAAGAGAATCGTGTTATTGTTGATTCATTTGCTTTGTTGACGTTGTTAACTTGGTTGATAGTTGATGCCGTGTTGCACGATCTACCAGTTTCTTCATAGCAATAGACTAGCGAATGATGGAATCACGGATTTATTCAGAAAAATTTCGCTGATTATGATGATAATGATGATGAAAAGAGGCAAATAGTATAAATCTTGTTACCTTTTTATATCATTCTAACTTTCCTTGAGCCTCAAGTTCAGTTATCCTCTCAATTATCCAATTACTTTTCATCATGTTTTTCATTCATATTCATTTAGTTCAATTTTTACGGTGACACTCAGTTTTTCCAGTCCTGTCAGCGCTTTTTTCCCCTTTTTATTTCGTCAATCTTTCTCTTTTTTTCTCGTAAAACCCCATTCAAAGCTATTATTTGGAGACGTTAGATCAAACAGATCATCATTGCCATCGTTAACTGCATCAACCAACACTTGACTTGAGTACCGTCTACAATTTACCCTTTAATAACAATGCTACTTGACTTGACAGGCAGTCGTAAAGTTGAATGTTAACTAAATATATCATGTACAGTACGATATTGATTCATCTTTCATTTAACAAATGTATTATCTAAGATGTAATAATTAGATAAAAATAACCCACTCATAATGACCAGGAGACTTTTTGCTTCTTGTCTAAACATCATCTTTATTTATTCAGTCAACTTGATCAGTTTAATAACCAGTAGTGTTATTTTTATGTCCATTGCATTTCACGATTACAATAATTTAAGTGATCATCAAGCAAAAATTTTGTAAATTGTGAACTAAAAGGCAACTAAAACAATGGTTAATCATGGTTAGATTATCATCTTGAAAAATTGAACAACAATTTAAGGAAATGAAATGATTCTAGTGTTTCCACTTTTGATTCTACTTGATTGATTCCACTTTTATAAATGAAAACTGATCTCAATTATTGTTTATTATTTTAGTTGATCAAAAAGCCTTTTTAATCATTTTTAATGAAAATAATGATGATGATCTTATCAAGTCCGATGTTAGATCACTCTTCCGGATCGCTCCTTAACTCAAGTAGTGATTGGCCATTTTTTGTGTGTTGGTTAACTTCATTAAATATACTTTTAGAGAAATCAAATTTAGTTTATTGTAACAATTAACTGCACGTTCAGCTAGCAAAATAAAGGAATTGCTATTGATGATTAATGTCGATTGCGAAGAGTAAAAGTGTGTTTCATTATGGAATCAAAATTTGATCAATTTTTACATAAGTAGTTGACCAAGAAGAGGACGGTAATGATGAACAAGATGAAAATAGGATCAGATGGAGGAACATTAATTTCCGCATTTTCCAGGAGTCCATCAATTTATTGTTATAGATTGTCAATTATTAGATTAATTTAACCCATTTCAAGTATTTAGCTTCTCTCTGATTCAACAAATCAAATCAACAATTTAATATTATTTGCTATTACTTTTCATCACTTTATCGTCATTATTTTATTATCACCACTTTCGCTTTCATCCAACATTTAAAGAACCATTTTTTGATTAATCTTTTCAAAATTTGATTGCAATTTTAATCATGATTTATTTTCTTAGCAATGAGTGCAATTGTTATTGGAACATTTGTTGTCCATTTTTACCGTTTCAACTCTTTACGTGAGTTATTTACAATTGAAATCATAAAATGATGATAAGTTGACGATTAAGTTGTAAAAATTGTTACAGAATTATCTATTAGAATTGATCTTTTCTCTCGAAATTTAATGCATTTAAGGACTCAGAATTGAAACAAGGCTATTTAGGTCAATAATTTGGGTGCTTTTCCAACTTTACTTTTCAAGATTTGTGTGTTTAAAATGAAAAATGATGTTCAAATCGTTTAATGATCTTCGTTTTTCACATTTTCTTGTCCTTTTTATTTGCAATACAAAGTATTACCGTAAAAATACAGTAAAATTGGATATTATTGATGCTGATGGCAATGGTGATGATTAAGAGATAGAAATGAATTAAATTGAAATAATCTATGTTATCACTGTTTAAAAAGATAATCTTTTGCTCCGATTCCATCATCATTAGTATAAACACAATTATCCTCATCCTTCTTTTTACTGATCAGATGAAAGTAAATTTTAGTTGTCTTCCTGGTTGATTAGTTAAAATTGATTGTTGAAAAGATCGCTGATTCATTAACCTGGGTCAAGTCTGGGTTTGCAATTAATTTACTTCTTCATCTTTACCTTCCAAATCAACAATCAAAGAAACCATCTTTGATTGTTAAAAATGAAAATACTGTTGAAAAATCCCAACTCCAATTAAACTGTTGATATCATATAAACCATTGAAACCCATAAACTTTCAAACAAAATCTTAGCAAATTGATAATCATTGATGGCTTTTAAACATCAAAATCAAAGGTAGCAACTAAAATTAATTGATCACTGCGATTGAGGGTCAATATTAGATTATTATTTCAGTATTTTCCGATTTTTTCTCGTCCTTTTATCAACTTTTTTGTACTTTCTCTTTTTACTGGAAAAAAATGCTCAAATCACTTTCACACAATCTTTTTCAATACTCACACGCATTTTAAATAAAACTCACAACAATCAACAACAAAAACTATGAGGTCAATTAACAGGCGTACAATTGATATTAATCATTATAACAGTATTTAATGCGCTGGTGGTTGTAAAGGGACAAGGTCAATAATAATAAACCATCAGTAGCATCATTAAATCAACAATTGAATCTATTGCTTGTTACTCATAGTAACTCTGAATTTTCCATGTTGACCATGAATACAGAAACTCTGAATCATAATCAAGACTAGCAAAAATTTACATTCGTTTTCTCATTTAACTAATTTTCTTCTCTAATAGAGCTAATTTTTCTTCCATTCTCTCAACATATGATACTAATTATATTTTATTTAATCATTAAATCTCTACATGCAACTCTGTTTTACTCAGTATTAATTGTTTGATCACTTTATACCACACCTTTGCCACAAATTGAAAGATGATGATACTTTTTGGCTATTAATCACTTGATAGGAAAAATTGAAAACTTATTGCCATCAAACTTGATTATCATGATCATTATTAACTTAATCATTTACTAATTATCGCTTAGATGTTAATTTCAATCTTGCACTCTACCAAGCTGCCAATTTTCTTTTGACAATTAATCTTTTTCTTTCTCTTGCTTTCATTTGATTTCAATTATTTACTTTACCTTCCACCTCTATCCATCTTAATTAGGTTATATGTTGTTGATTAATTTGATTTATCTTGCTAATCAAAACCATTTTCAAACCATTTCTAATCCAAACCATTTACTTGTTTTTGTTACTCTTAGGTATGGTTATGTGGGAAGACCTTCGTGGTGGCCGTTGCTCAATGGGTGATGCTTGCTCCAACCCAAGCGACGAAGATGGCGTTTATAACATGCTTTTACGTAATTTCAAGCGTCATTACAACTCTAATCGAGCTCCTTTCGGTCTCTATTATCACTCGGCCTGGTTCAACACTGCTCATCACAGGAAAGGCTTCATGAGATTCATGGACGAAATTTTATCTTATGGCGATGTATACTTTACCACTAAGTGGCAAATGCTTCAATGGGTACGAAATCCAACTCCCATTTCAACTGTAAACTCATTTGAACCCTGGGATTGTAAAAAAATGGTTGAAAATCGACCTGGAGCTTGTAATCATCCAACTGTTTGTAATGTTCGTGGACAACATGGACATCGTTTCATGAAAACCTGCCAATCATGTCCTTCATTTTACCCTTGGCTTGGCAAAACAGGACTTTAAATTGATTAATTCATCTAATTTATATTATTTCTAGTTTATAATATAATTATTGTAATATTTAACAACAAACACGAAATTGATATCTTGTCAATTAATCAATTACCAAGGGATGCCAAGCTTTAAATGTACCTTTATCTAAAATCTATCTGGTTGATTGGATGGTTTGAATGGAGGAATCTTAGTAGCCAATCATTTATCAATCCTGATCATCTAAATAACAATCGAAACAATGAAAATTATTAGGAATGCGAATAATTTCAATTCATAAATTAGAGCTAATGGCTAAATCGTTTATATTGTCAATTTTCATCCTCGTTTCTTGCCAATAAGATTGCTGCCGATCATCTGGACGTCTTAATTTCTTCTTCAAATAATTTCTTCAAATTTTCGTCCCTTTCAACATCTTCAACTGATAGATTGATAAGTTGAACGTCCATCTGCACAACGGGTGATAAATATATTTATAATCATCATTTTTTTGTAATAAACCACAAAATCGAAGAGTCAACTTGGTCTTTACGACTTATGCCGCTTCAAATAATCACTCACAAGGCGTCATCGTCCTCATCTTCATCAACATTTTATCCAAAAATGTTAACTTCACCTTCTTGCCAACCTTTAATCTCTAATGAGACTTTTGAAACTTCGACTTTTCGCAGTTTATCCCATGATGTGCCAAGAGAGTATCAAACAATCTTGCCTTTTAATCACACTCAAACTTTTCAACTTTCTCATGCAATTGAATCATCATGCAATAACTCATATCATAATGAAACGTCGTACAATCAACGTTCAACATTTCAATACTCTATTGTAATCATCAACTCATTACACTATTCCAGCAAAGCTCAATTGCCTAATTTACCATTAAATTAGCATACAAGGATCAATTTCTTCCAGACCTGTTCATCTTACTGATCATCAACTTCCATTGAATTTATTTCACTCTGGAAATGAGTAACTCGCCACTCTCATTTTGTCAACAATTTTTAAACACATCATCACCAAATGCTGCCACAATAAATTTAATTAAATAGGTGAATTGACAACAATATGTGGTGGTAAAGAGAGATAAAAGCAAGAAAGAAAACTCGATTACCCAAAACTCATATCTAGTCCATTAATAGATGATTAATAATTATGAAAGCAAAGGAAAACGAATGCTTACAGTTTTGGTGAAAGACAACAACAGGAGCATCAACAATAATTGATAAACGCACATAAATCACCATTGACTAGCCAATTTAACCCATTTTTATAAATTAATTTGATCTTGTATGTGTAGATCATAAATTGTTTTGCTCATCTTATTTTCTCATCAGCAGCTTGAAACATCTTGTCTTCCATCTCATCTGTTTAACCTTCTTCTTCCATCATCATCTCTTCATTTTAAGTGAAATCAATTGTTTATTATAATAGTTTCGCTATCATCTTCATCTTCATCTATCTCTTTTCCCTTTACTTTATATGAAACAAAAAAAATCACTTTCTCCTGTCATCATCTGTCATCATTTTTATCCTCACCATTATAAAAGCCCAAAATAAACGTTATTTTGTTATTTTTCAATTCAATTAACCTTAGTAGTTACTGAATTACCTTTAATTTCAACTTTCATTCCTTTCTCGGTTCCTCTTGATCAAAATGATGATTACCTTTTACTAATTTTAATGACGGTAAAACATTACAAAAGGTAAATTAAAACGGAAAATAGTTACAAAGTTTTAAAGTGAAATCCTGCGAAATTATCCATTAATAATTAATTCAATGAAATCTAATTGTTTCATGGTTAAGATAAATGTTTGTTACAAGATTTTGTAAAATGTAGTAAAAATGGTAAAAAAAGGTAAAAAAGACTCAACTGATACTAATAGTTGCCGTTGGCTTTTAAAAATCATTTTAAACTTTCAATTATTTTATCCCATTTTAAAAAAACAAATCAATTATTAATGTTCAAAGAATGCTGTTTAACTTGTATGTTTAACGGGTTAAGCCTTGAATTTGTCCAAAGATTAATTAATCTCTTATGGCTGAGCAACAACAGTAGCAACCAGAAACTGTCAATTGATTGACAACTCTTTGATTACTTACCAGTTTTAATGTAATAACAATTAACAGTGAGTCTTTCGTTGATTTTCAATTAATCAAAAGCAATTATTCTGATATCAAGTTAACCTTTTTATGCTTGCTTTATGAAAATCTTTTAGTTAATTCTGTTAGCAATTTTCTTCGTTTCTGATTCATATCATCATTATTATCTGTTGTTGCTTTCATGAAAGTTACATTATTATCAGGTCAACACAATAATGACATTATAACACTTATAAAGCTTTTCAGGAGGTCAGTTTTTCCCAATAGCATTGCCAATCGCTCAAAATTTATGTTTGTCCATTTAAAGCTTCTTCTGGATAAACCTTAAGGCAGCTAATGGTTTCTCACTCATCAGTAACAATTAAAAATTGTAAAAGTAAAGTCCAAGTGATCAGGAAATAAGTTGAGACAAAATTGAGCCTCGTTCGGATGAAATTGACTTTTGGTTTCTTCCTTCTTGTCTTCAACATTTGCCATGGTTGGAGTAATAAATGACTCTGAGTTGTAAATTATCCAAAATATTAATATTCCAACATTTAAATAACTGCCATTGGATTACAGAATCCAAATTTATTCGTTATATGTCTTGCAATCCCTCCTCTGCCGTTAGCTAAATTTAATTGAATTATCAATTGATTGGAAAAGATTAAGTTGACAAAATCTAACCAAATTAAGACTTTGAATGATTTAATGTCTGCTTTAATGAACACATTTATCAACTCCTTCGATGTTGGTTTATCTTTTATTTTTGCTTTTGCTTTAATTCTTGGCTTGAACATTTATAAATTATTCGTCCTGAACTAATCAAGATTTGATTGAGATTTGATTACTCAAAATGTTATTACCAAATTGGGAGTTTAAATTTGTCGATCTCGACAAAATAATTCTTGTGTAAAACAACCTTATTTTTCTTAAAGCATGTAAAGTTTAATCAGCTGAGATTTAAAGTTAATTGAAGATGTTGGGTATTTCACCTGTTGATATCAAATCTATCACTTTCTCTGGGTCATAATTATTGGAAGATAATAGATTTACAACAACATCATCACTTATTTGGGGGAAAAAGTCTTTGATTTGAGAGACCAGAGATGATAATAAATTGCCATCTATAGTATTGGAATATTTATTTTGGATTCCATTTTTGGAAGGTCCTTCGGTATACTTTAATTTTGCCAGCAAATTTGGAGCAAATCCATCTAAAACAATAAGAATTGAGATCAGAAATTGTCACAAATTGAATGACAGACGTAAATGAAGACAGGGTCGATTTCAAGACATACCTGATGGATTACTGTTTTCCTTTTCAGATGATTTCTTTGAGCTTCCCTGATTACTAGCAATAACATTGAACAGATAATCAATACGACTTGGGTCCACTGAGCGGAAACCGGTCAATTCTGATTTCTCCATAAGAAGACAGATATCCGAATCGAAAGAATATTTAGAAAAATAATCCTTTGAAAAGCTAAGAAATGAAAAGAAATAAAGAAATGTAAGATAAGTTGTGAATATAAAGAGAAAAATAATTACCATGGACTTGAGGAGGCGATTGAGATCATATCTAAATACTCATCGATAATAACAGTTTTTTCGTCCATAGAAACACTGAAAGAAAAAAATTAAATTAATAAAATATTTGGGTTATAATCAAATTTAGTTACTCTTACTTGTTGTTCAATAAATTATCAAGGGAAGCGTATTTAATTATATTACGAAAGGCATTGATAAGGCAGCAACGAGAGATTGTAAGAAAGCGAATAATTGTCTCAGAAGCTCTGAAAAGGAAAAAAATTGAGAATATTAAAATAATCTTGAAATAAATGGGAATATTGATAATACTTTTTAGCTCTTGCATCTTTAGCGAATCTGGAGGTGAGTTCATCTTTTAATTTTGGAAAAAGAGTTTCGTAAAATTCAACCAGATTTGTATCGAAACGTTGTAATCGGTATGATTTAGCAGCAGTTGGCGATAAAGAGATAAGAAATGATATTGGTACAATGGTTCCTACAATATGTTCAATTATTCCGACGATATGACTCCAAGTTAATGTTGAAATAACATGAGTTTGTTGAGAGTTTACAATAATCCTATCATTGTCTGTATTGAGGCCTAATTCGTTGACAATCTTGTTTAATTTATCTTTACCAGCGATAATTGATGATTCCAGATGCTCCTTGAAATAAGTATTAGAATTCAAAACAGTTTCAACCATTAGGGTAAGTTTTTGATTTGTTTCAGGATAAATATTTCCATATACAGCGCACAGGTCCATAAGCAAGGAAATGTCGAAAATCTTCTTTTCAAATAAAACTTTACCAAAGTAATCTGTCGAAATACAATTTTTCTGAAAGGAGAGTAAGAAAATCAATAATTTTTGGTCATTTTATCCAATGAAATATGAGACTTACCGGGTCTTCACTGGGTGTTGATAATCTACAATAGACTTTAAAAACCAATTTATGAATTGAATTAGCAACAAGAGTTATTCTTTCATCTAAAGTGACTGGTCCCAGATAAAAACGTGGAGTGTTATTGATATAAGAACGTAAGCCCATGTTTACAGTTGAGTCAAAAATCACTGTCGACCAAAATCTTTGGATTTAGGTGGTTTTAGAGAAAAAAAATCAAATTAGCTTTTAAGGTTACATATGATGTACATGGTCAGCAGTTACATATGATGTACATGGTCAGCAATTACCTATGATGTGGTAGCCTCAACAGGATATGAAGGTTGTATTCAAAATCGTTGATTCTATTTATAATGTCATCAATGGGCTTTCTAAGTTGATAATCCGGACTTTGAAGTGTTGGTAATTGAAGAAACATGAAATTTTCAATAGGATGAACGAAAGATTGGTGCTGAAAGAGAAGAAATAAAATTAATAAGTTGCAAAAATAAATCTACGTTAATGTACATACCAGGGCCGGTAAATGCTTTTTATTGCTGCCATCATCGAAAACGCTGATTGTTTTCTGGTCCACAGGCTTGTTAGATGATCTCTAGAAATATGAACATATTGAGCAAGAAAATGTTGGTCAATTTTCAGGCAAAAACAAATCAAGCTCAAATTAGTCTGACAGATTAATAAGAGAGAATGCTTTACCTGATTATCTCTTTCAGAACCTCTCATCATGGGAACTTTAGGCCTGACCGCAGGCTCAGACTGTCTATTATTACGATGACCTTCCATGGTTATGACTTAGAATACAAGTTATTGAATACAAAAAAAACACCAAAATAAAAATTAAATCAAGAAAAGTAGCTTAATTCATTTGCAACGTCAATGGGAAAAACAAGCAAGTTTACACTAAACAGCTGATTTTTTCTTCATGTCTTTCAATGTTGTCAAGTGTTTAATGCCGTAAACCCCGATTGATAACATTTAATATTTTAATGATTGATTCCAGTGAGTCTTTTAACTGTTGAAAAATCAGCAATTTAAAGAAATTGCTGCTTAAATATATTCAACAATATGGTATAAAGAGACCTGCCAGTAATTTAGACTAAATTTTGTTACAGCCTCTTCGGTATGGCTACTTTTCTTTCAAAGAAATTCTTTGTTTACATTTGTTAAGTATAGTAAAATTTAAAGTATAGTTTGGTACAGTTGTTAAATGTCTAATTAAATTAATTTTTTCTCACTGGATTTCAACTCTAATCTAAATCTTCGACAAGTGACATGGAGTGACCTGTTTCAATTGTTGTCAATCATTTAAAATGATACTTCATTGGATCTTTGTGTCAAATTTCTCTTTGGTCAGGTAATTATCATTAAATGCTTTATTTAGCCTTTAAATTATTTCCTCTTTTGCTTTATTAATTTTCTTTTTCGACAGTAATCAATTACTAAGTGCCATGGAAAGGATTCCCTCATATTTGATCAAACTGATGCTGCCTGACTAAAGTGGAGATTGACTCCGTGATCCTACAATCTATGGAGAAAAACAATGATTCTTGAAAGTTCAAGATGAGATTGAGAATTTGTCGTTCTCATCTTGACATTAGGATTACTTGGATGGCTGGAATTTGTTCGACTTGATAAATTTAAAGCACCAACTTTGATTGAAGGTGACGATCTTGAACGAGAGGTACAAATTTAGAAGTAAACTATCACCTACAGCTGCTGCACCAATATTCTTATTAAAATTGAAAACGATTCCTTCAGATGTTTTGGTTTCAAAAAATTGACTGCTTGATCAACAATGAATATTCCATGAGCTGTTTCAAAACTAGCGATGACATGGTCTACATGCCTTTTAATTTCATTAGACGTTACTTCGATATTTATGGGAAGTTTATTAAAACCTCAAGCAAACAAGAAGTTTTTGATTGGGGATGCAGTTATTCTAAATTTTATTACCCGAAGGCAGCATATGATTACAAAAGCACCTATCTCTGGTTTGACAATGACAATGTAGAAGTACGAGATAGAAGTAATTTAATATCTGGCCTCGAATTCCATGGAAGATTAGGAGTCGACCTACAAAAAGCTTGTACTATTTTGGATAAAAACTTACCCATCAAAATAAAAAATTTACACTTGTCCAGGATACTTTTTAAAGGAAAACCTCTAATCGACGACGTTATGCTATCTTCTAGTGCTCATGAATCTCACCTTTTCTCCGCTGCTCGTTGGTTACTTGAAAATCTGGTTGGCCAATTAAAACTATTCGAAAGCTTTCTAATCTGTATTCCAATCTTAATATTGAAACCGTGCTGGTATCCAGCAATGGATCAGGGACAAGCAATCTCTTTGTTAACATGAATGTACCATTATGCTGGGGATGAAATTTACCTGAAGGCAGCTACTCGTGTTCTTTGTTTCTTCAATATGAGCTCAGGAAAGGGAGGATTCCGGACAAGTATCTTTGGTAATTTTGATTATTTTACCTATTTATATTTATATTAGCTCAAAGAATAGTTTTTTTATATTTTAAAAATTCATTCTGTTTATTAACATATAATTTTGGTCTGGATTTTCTAGGTTTGAAGAGTATCCCACAATTCTTAGCAGTTTTGTTTTGAACGGAGCTCTTTGGTCGGTTCGTACGATTCAAAGATAAGCTGTGCTAAACAATTTGAAACGGTTGAGGAATATTTCAAAGAAGGTCTTGAATCTTCAAAACACTTGCTACTTCTTTATGACACTGGATCTGGGACACTCTATGACTTACGGCTTTTTTCATTGAAGACTGAACCGAAAATTGCTCGTTGGGATTATCATACAACTCATATCAATCAATTTTTCTACCTTAATACACTTCTCAAGGACCAACAGTATCAAAAAGATGGATTTAAAAGGAAAAAGAGCTGCTCACAATTAAAATGAAGACATTTAAAACTCTAAAACAATTATTTTGAATGAATTAATACTCACGAAATTGTATTTAATGTACAGTATTCCATTTAATTTTCTTAATGTTCATAATTAGATATAAGCCTTTCAATATTTACTGTTGTGTATTTAGTTTCATCAAGCCATTCAATTGTGTAAACCAAATATCAAGGTCAGGTCAAGTAGTAGACAAATATTGATTAATAATTTTAATCAGCTAAATAATAGCAGTTAGTTGGACGTTAGTATTGCTTCATCAAGTCTTGACAATAAATAGCCTTATTTACAGAACATGAGAGACTTTTATCCATTTTTCTGAAAAAACACTCAGATTTTTGCCAAAAATGCCTGATTTTTGTTCAACTTAACCTGACAATTAAACAGGGTGTTGAATATTGACACAGAAATGATGACATTGTCGCGTATGTTTTAGTTTACTCTTTGTCCTTTTCCTTTTATTTACTGTTGCCAGCTGATCCAGTAACACTTGGTTACTATGTAGTGGCTCATTCAAGCCTACCCATTCATCCTGGTTTTTTGTCATCAACTTGCTTTTATATTTGTGATTAATCTGAATAATTTAGATTAATAATACATTAAATTATTTGTCAATTGAAATATGATCAAATTATTCACACAATAAGTATCGACTAATCCGTCTTCAATTTTCACAATATCCTCTATTTTGACTGGGTAAGTAACTTCTTATTCTTCCCTTCAGATATTACATGTATCATGGACTCTATTTTCATAATTTTGTACATTTGACTGATTTTATAGTTTACTAATTCAAATCCTTGATTAATTACCATTTTGATTTTTGTCTGTTTCTTCCTTGTTTAGGCATTTGCTGTTGAAAAGGGATTTTTTATGGTTGGCTTATGCGTTAAGCTAATTACAACTTGTGAATTCATTTTTATGACTACCTCAGCTTCTGTCTACTCATTACCGTTCCATAATCTAGAATTAAATTCAGCTTTGTTAAATAATTATGGCATCATCAGATACTAATCTTGAAATCAATCACAACGTGTTTTGGTTTGTTACTTTTTGGGGGATCTTTACCACGCTTATGCCAAATTTTGTAAAATTGGTAGGTCATTTCAACTCCTCACTATTTCGATGGTTGTGTTATTAATTATAACGTTTTCTCTCATCTGTTTAGGTCATGTGGATCTTCTTTAGAGACTCTTTGATGGAGAAAAATTTAAGGAAACAAGTAACTGATTTGAAAACTGAACTGGGTACAATAAATATGACTCAAGAATTTGTAAAATATGCCAAAATTCAACGTAAAATAAATAAAATGACCGAGGAGCTCAAAAGCAGAGGTAAGTTTTACCAGTTATAGCATTAATTGATACAAGCTGTATGATTAAAATTCACTGTTACAAGATTTAATTACATCAAATTAATATATTGTTCTTTTTATGCAGCAAATACGAAAACAATGCTCAAACTCAAGGTACAAGTTATTGTCTATGGTGTTTGCTATGTGGCCATGGTTAGTAAAACTAAAAAATCTTTATAAATTGATTCGTCATATTGATCAATATATCTCATTATTTTTATACTCATTCTTTCCATCCAGGGCTTGATTACTACGTACTTAATCTGGTCGTATCGATATACTCCATTAGCAAAAATCGATTCCAATCTTATGTTTCCTATCGGAGCAATCCTTTCTTTTCCTACGGGTGTTGAAGGGGCAATTGGTATTACATGTTGGTTTTCTATGGTGACTTATTCTAGTCGCAAGGTAAAGCGAATGGTAACAACGTCATAAAACAATGGTTACTTTGGAAATTAGCTCCTTGAGTTCAATTCTGGTGGATTCATTTGCAGCTCAATAGGATCCATTTGATCAATATTTTTATCTCGCCATGGCAATTTTTTTACATAAAAAGGCTTGTTTTTGTACAGACCCATACGACTAGCTCAAATAAAATGGATAAAATTCATAAATTTTAATCATTGTTCAGGCTCATTAGCATGATTATCAGTTTCTGTTTCCTTAGGATCATCTAAACGTTCAATTATTGTTGTCAATTTATGATGCTCTTTTTCTACAATAGATTCTTCGATTGTAGACTGGTCTGGATCAACTGATGTAAGTTCCTGTTCCTGTTAAAATTCAAGTAAAACATCAAAAATTAACATTAAACTAATTTTAAATTCAACTTTATAATTTTTTTTGCTTTTTCATTTGCTTTTACACACTTACCATTTCGCTTGAATCCATTGGTTCAGGAGCTTCAGTAACTTCAGAAACTTCAAGAGCTTCAGGAGCTTCAGGAGCTTCGGAAACTTCAGGAACATTTTCACTCATCTCTTGAGTTACATCTTGATTAAGAGTCTCTTCTTCGGGAAGAAAAGAGCCTGTGAAATGGTCGATTTCATCTTCAAGTATCAAATCTTCTCTCTTGGGATTTCTTTGCAAAGCCTTACGACTTTCTGCATAAAATGTATTTGGATGAGTAATACCTTCATCAGAAATTTGATGGCTAGGGTGCCTAACTGTAAAGTATATACCACACGCTTTAGAGTAGTTTTTCTCCTCCACAAGACTCTCAATGTTTTGTAGTACCTCATCCCCAACACCTTTGCGAACTAAAAATTTTTTAAGATTGGTCCAGTCGAAATGTTTAAAAGGGCAACCATGAGCATCACCTACTCCAGGAGTACTATTAATTATTTTTTCACATCCATAAGGGCTGAAATCGACTTTTTTTCCTTCTTTACCATAATTGTAGCGTATTCCATATCTGTATTCTTTATCAAACTTTTCTGGGGCCAACTTTTGGATGAATTCATCTCGGAAAAATTTAACAGCGTCTTCAAGAGATAATCCAATTCCCTTTAAAAACAGTCCATAATGCAGACGACCACCATATTTTATGTGATGATTTTTACGTAAATTGAGATGAATACTTTCCATACAGGGAGGAAAATGTTCAAGCGCTAAGTTATCAATCATATCAGGAGTGACTACTTCTTTCAGTTTACCTGATGCATCAGCTTTCAATTTTCTAGCGGAAGCTATTTTTTTTAAGTAAATATTGTTGATGATAGGTAGCAGGCGATGTTCTTCATCAGACCTACGCATATTAAGTCGCGATAAAGCAGTGTTCAGTTCTTGTCTGAACTTGGTACAAATCAAAGAAATCATGTCATGAGTTGAAACATAGGCATAACCATCTTGAAGGTAAGCTTTCCGCATTCGTACGACATCCAAAGCATCTTCAAACAGAATTCGATAAAATGGAGATTTATCATCGTTGGTTACAAAAAGGTTGTTAAAGGATGCTTTTCTTCTAAGATCACGATCATAATCCGAATTACCAAGATGTATGGGCTCATAATTCAAGTTATTTTTTAAAATCATTTGGGCAACAACGGATGAATCATTTTTTTGACCACTTAACGCGTTTGTGGCTGCTTTACCAACAGTTTCTTCTAGCAGCCTGTACCGAAGAAGCTCAGTTTCTCTGTTTACGAACCAAGTCTTTTTTTCTTGCGGATGACAAAAGTAAAGTCTCAAGAGGAAATGGGATATTTGATCACGACGACGAGCATCTTTCTTCAAAGTATTATGAGCACCTAAGGTTCTCGCATGTAAAGTAGTAATAAAGTTGTCACCAAATTTAGATTCAATTTGTTTAAGGCGTTCTCTTATTGTACCAAGATGGTCAGCTAAATTTTTTGACTGTCCAATTTCACTTATTTTTAGCTCTTCGAACACTTCTAGAATAGATAATCGTTCATTTACCATGTCATCCACTTCAATAAGATCAATTTTTCCAGTTGGTGGGAAGCTATAAAAAGGCAGATCATCACTAAAATCTTCATGAGCCACATTAACATGTCCACTGTCAAGTTTACTTCTTTTGGGTGTTGAGCCGAATTCCATGATGATCTAAAACTATTTATTAACTGAATAAAACTGATTCAAAAAATTATAAAACAGTTGAAATGAGGAAAATTAAAACTCAACAAAATAATAACAACTTGATACTATGTCTGGAAAATTTATTGTTTAAAAGGCGCCTTCAATTGATTTTCCCGCTAAAAGAGTCAAGGGACCAGCTTTTAATTTCACAAGTTCATCAACAAAACTTGTAAATGTAATTTCAAATGCAATACAACTTTTAATTTAATAATAATAGTTGTTAATCAACTAAGTAATAATTGACCCTAACATAATGTTTAGATAAGCTGCTTTACTAGAGCTTTCATTCAGATTTTTGAAATGGCCGATTGCTTTACCCAAAAAATAAGAAATATCTTAACCCTGGTATACCCATTCAAAATGAATTAAAATCTAATCAAAGTAAATTACTTGGGTTTCATCAAATCATTTTTGAATAAAATTTGAAGAGAGACGAATGTAATACAATTGTCGATTTTACAATTAGTAGCTGGATAGATATTTACAACAATTAAGTAGGAGGTGAACAATCCTTAAGATTTTATTTCAACTCTTAAATGTTATATGCATTGTTGTCAATCTTAAAGCAATCAGGATTTTGATTGTTTATTAGTTTATTCTTTGCGATTTACATTTAACATTGATCATCATCTCGATTACACCCGCTATTGATCTATCCATTAGTACCGTTTCCAACCGTGCGACAAATTTAACCAAAGAATAAAAGATGGCTGAAGAGGCTACCGAGGAAGCTCAAGTTTACCCTCAAGAGCGTGATGTAAATGAAATCACTGCCCGTGCTCGAAAAATTTTATCCCTTGAAGGAGCCAAAAGTATCAACGATGAAGATTACCTAAGTAATCGAGAAGGTTACAAGATTTTTCGAGAAACGCTGATTGGTAAAGGTAAATTTTCTCAATTCTATGCTGCTCGAACCGCAAATGGTGTTGATGTTACCGTCAAGGTTTTACCACTCAGCTCTTTACCCATTAAATACAAGGAAAACCTGCTCAGACAAGGGACTAAAATATTGAGCTATTTCAAGACCTATCCGTGTGACCAGATTTCATCCATCATTGACATCTACATGACCAAGATAAAGGTTTACGTTTTCTGTGAACCATTAGGACAGGATTTGGAAAAGATATCAAGGAAAACGAGCTACAAAGAAGAGGAATTCAAACCATGGATAGTCGATATAATGAAAGGTTTACAGTACCTTTATGAAAACTGTATTGGACATCGTAATTTACAAGCATCTAATGTAGTCTTGTCTGGAGACAAAGCAACTGCCAAGTTGACTGGTTTCGGCAATGCCATAGTCACTTGGGATCCTGATAAACAAGCACCAATTTATGCTGAGAAAGAAAAGGAACATCATCATCATTTGGCTCCTGAAACTTTAAAGGGTGAATATGATGCTCATATTGCGGACATTTGGGGCATTGGTTGTATAATTTCAATCTTATTGACTCGAAAGCCTTGCTTTGAAAAGAAGACTCGAGACTATCTGGAAGGATACAAAACTCACCTACGACGCAATGAAACAGCCATTGGCAGTGATTTGGAGTGTTTCCTGAATCGTGTTTTTATTGCTGAGCCAACCAATAGAGCACCTTTAAGTGAACTTATGGCCCATCATTGGATTGTTGGCGGGGAATCGGCTCATAATCACTAATTTTTATTGAAATTCCTGGTGAACTTTGTGGCAAAAACCAACTCTGTAAAACAACATTGATACAAATACTGTTTTTGCCAATCATACAAATATTCAATTTTTTCAATAATCAGCTTCACATTAGTATTACCTTTTGATTTTATCCATTTCCTTTTTCCTTAAAATTATAATTATTTTCCAGTTTTGTTCAGCTATTCATTTAGTATAATTATTAAATAATTTGAAACAATAAACATCCAAATTTTATTTTAACTTGAATGTTTCATGAAACTGTTGGTGGATTCATAATTTAAATGGGTTGTTACTAAAAAGACACAACCAACACAATTTTAACACCAAAATCAAATTCAAGTTATTTTTTAAAATCATTTGGGCAACAACAGATGAATCATTTTTTTGACCACTTAACGCGTTTGTGGCTGCTTTACCAACAGTTTCTTCTAGCAGCCTGTACCGAAGAAGCTCAGTTTCTTTGTTTACGAACCAAGTCTTTTTTTGCACGTATTGCACAAATCGACAAAAACGGTTAGAAATTCATTTCGTTCATATTGAGACTCTGTTGGTTTGTAGGGACATAAAAACTGGGTTTATTTAAGCGATTTAAAGATTTGTCGGATAAGAAATTCTCGAGGAAATCGAGTTCGAAGTTGAAACCTGCGAAGCTTTTTGAACAATTATGGTAGCAAATTTTTCTATGAAACTCAATTTGCTTTTATAAATTTTAATGGAGAACCAGAAAATGCACTTTATTACATGAAATAAAGTTTTGGGTTTCTGTAAAACAGATATATTCGATTTTCGTTTGAATCGACTTATTTCTATGACCGTAATACTAAGAGAGTTGAAACTTGTTATTTGTCCATAAAAACTGTTTGTACAACACACGCATTGACTACTTTCTTCAATTTATGAACAGTTCTCTTGATTATGGCCGTTGGACTTAAAACTTTGAGACTTGATATTTCGCGAATGGCCTCACCTAGAATCATCATTCTTCAATCTTATATTAGATTTTATAATGGGCTATGACATATTGAGATAGTAAATTATTCAAGACCCTACTAAAAAAGTTATAGCATTGTATTACTCTTGCTGTCAGATTTAAGACTTTTTCATAAAGTTGGTTGATTACTCAAACACAAACCTTAATTGTTAGAAGGATACTCAGTTTTAAATGTATTTAGTCATATTTTATCATAGCTCATAATAAAATCTAATGTTTGGTCAAAGAACAGAGATTGTAGATGATGCCAGGCTCGAAATATTGCGCTTCAAAGTTTTAGGTCCAATGGCCAAAATCAAGAGAATTATCCATAAATTGAAAAAAGGATCCAATCCATGATGTGTAAAAACAACTTTTATGCACAAATGCTAAGTTTCAGCTTTCTAAACCTTACGGTCATAGAAATAAGTCAATTCAAACGAAAATCGAACTTTGTCTGTTTTACAGAAACAGAAAATGTTATTCCTCTAAATAAGACCATTTTCTTGTTGGTCATGAACAAAAACATTAGCAAAATAAGTTTCCTGAAAAAGTCTGCTTCCATAGCTGAATAAAAGCGGATCGAAGTTTCAAATTTGACTTCGATTTTCTCGAAAACTGTGCTTCGGATGAATTATTAAATAGCACCAATAGACTCAGTTGTTATTTCCCTACAAACTCACCAAGTCTCAACTTTATGCTCAAACGTTCGCGTCTTTTGCAGTACTTTTTGTTTTTCATTTGCAAGTTTAGCCAGAAAATTGGTTTATTCACCAAGATATGCATTAATATGAGTTTTGTTTGTGAATAAAGTTGTTTCGTACACATTTACAGCCCGAATATCATGATCGTAATGCGCTAAATGAAAGTTATTGAATTGCATTGAATAATTTATTAGTGGAGAAGCAAATTAGTGAAAGAATAATGATTTTAGGCGATGCCATTCTCGAAATATTGAGCTTCAAAGTTTTAAGTCCAATGGCCGATATCAAGAGAACTGTTTCTAAATTGAAGAAAGTAGTCAAAGCATGTGTTGTACAAACAGTTTTTATGGACGAAGCATAAGTTTCAGCTCGTTAACTCTTACACTTATTGAATGCGGTCGGTTTAGATAAAAATCAAACTTGATCTATTTTACAGAAAACGAAAATGTTATTTGCCAAAATAAGATCATTTGCTGGTTTATCATCAAAAGATACATCAGTAAGGTAAGTTTCGTGAAAAAATCTGCTTCCATAGCTGGAGAAAAGGCGATCGAAGTTTCAACTTTACCTACGATTTTCTCGAAAACCGTCGATCTGATGAATCATTTATTAGCCCCAATAGACTCAGATTTCATGTCTCTACAAATGTACCAAGTCTCAACTTTATGCTCAAATGTTCAAGTCTTTTGCAGTTCTTTTTGTTTTTCATTTGCAAGTGCAGCCAGAAAATTGGTTTATTTACCAAGAAATGTGTTAAGATGAGTTTTGTTTGTTGAAAAAGTTGTTTCTTGTCCATTTATAACTTAAATATCATGAATCGAATGGGCTAATTGAAAGTTATTGAATTGCATTGAATTACTAATTAAAGGAGAATATTTTGGCGAAAGAATAATGGTTGTAGATGATGCCATTCTCGAAAAGTTTATGTTCAAAGTTTTAAGTCTGATGTCCGGAATCAAGAGAACGGTTGATAAATTGAAGAAAGTAGTCAATGCATGGGTTGTACAAACAGTTTTTATGGACGAAGCACAAGTTTCAGCTCTTTAACTCTTACACTCATGGAGTGTGAACTGTTTAAATCAAAATCGAACTTAACTGTTTTATTGAAACAAGGAAATTTCTTTTCTCAAAATAAGACCATTTTATGGTTTATCATCAAAAGATACATCAGTAAGGTAAGTTTCGTGAAAAAATCTGTTTTCTTAGCTGATCAAAAGGCGATCGAAGTTCCAAATTTGACCTTAATTTTCTAGAAAACTGCCCATCGGATGAATTATTAAATAGCACCAATAGACTCAGTTGTTATTTCCCTACAAACTCACCAAGTCTCAACTCTTAGCTCAAATTTTCACGCATTTGGCAGTACTTTTTGCATTGCATGTGCAAGTTTAACCAGAAAATTGGTTTATTTACCAAGAAATGGGTTTAGATGAGTTTTGCATGTTGAATAAGTTGTTGCTCGGTCATTTAAAGCATAAAAATCATAAGCCAAATGCGCTAATGGAAATTTATTGAACTGAATTGAATTACTAATTCGTGGACAATTAAATTAGTGAAAGAACAATGATTGTAGGTGATGCCATTCTCGAAATATTGAGCTTCAAAGTTTTAATTCCAATGGCCAAAATCAAGAGAACTGTTCATAAATTGAAAAAAGGAACCAATTCATGATGTGAGCCAACAATTTTTGTAGACAAATAATAAGTTTCAGCTCATCAACTCTTAAGGTCATAGAAAGCGATCGGTTTAGCTAGAAATCGAACTTATCTGTCTTAAAGAAGATAGAAAATTTTATTCCTCAAATAAATGAATTTTCTGGTTTTCCGTTAAAATTTACTTCAGAAAAATGAGTTTCATGAAAAAATCTTCTTCCATGATTGTACAAAAGGCTATCGAAGTTTCAACTTTAAACTCGATTTCCTCGAAAACTGTTCATCAGAGAAATCTTTAATCGCACAAATGGGTTCAATTTTCATGTCACTACAAAATAGCAGAGTCTAAATTTTGAAGAAATGGATTTTTACCCGTTTTTGCCCATTTGTGTCAATTGTTCAGATTTTGTCTTTTCAGTAACAACCGTTTAAATTTATTCATTTACATGGTTCTAAGTTTATGTATCATGTCAATTTGAATCATATGGATTTGAATATTTTGAAATCTACGCAAAATTAAAGCGAAATCAGTTCGAAAAAAGGTTAGTTCGAATTTGATTTTGCGCAAACTTTTATCACGTGTAAAATTTTAAGAAATTGTTTATTTGTGCCTTAATTTACATGTTGAATGAAAATTAGGCCAACATTGCTAATCTTTCCCTGTTAATCTCCCATGATCTATCTTGAGATTCATCACTATGCTCATAAAGGCCAAATTAGCTGCTTCTGTTGGCTGAATCTCTAAAAAGTTGATCATATTATTGTGATACATAATTGGATTTATATTATTACAGTCAAATGTATGTATACACTGAATAATGTCAGGACAATGACTTCGCTTTGTGGTCTGTTATTTATGAAATGATCATCAACCATGTTTTTAATCATCAATACCAGAATGAAATCAACTTGGTCCATAATTCATTTTCTGGATCAACATTTCTCTCTAATTGCTAATATCTCACAAGCCATCAAATAATTTACATTCAGTGAATCTCCTAGTTTTTTACCCAAGACGTATCAAAAATGGATGCTAACAGAAGCAGTCAAAAAAAGAAGGTCACTATTGTGGATGAATTGCCGTCAAACGCCTTGGCCCAGGAGACAACTTCGTTCAGATGGCTTTTCCTATTTGTCAAGTGGCTTTTCATTTCTATCAATTCAATTTGTTTGGCTGGTCAGTTGTATTGCCTGTTTGCTCCACATGTAATTATTTGGTCGCCTGAAACAGCTCTTCTCATTTTGGGAATCTTTTTTGGAACTGTTCTCGCCTTTGTTGCTCTATTTGGTGCTGTAAAAGAGGAATGCTACATTATCCTTACCTACAACATTTTCATATCTGTCATTTATATCGTCTCCGTCTTTCAGCAGTGGAGGTCCATGGCAGAAGAGATATCGCTTTTTTTCTATGTACTTCTTTGTTTTCTGTTCGCTCATCTAATTTATCGAAAACATATTCCAACAGCTGAATGAAGTATTGAAGATTCACCTCTTTTTGAATATTGATCAATATTAACTCTTTACTCCAATCTCTAACGTGCCTTTGGTATATTAAAAGTTTCATTTGGATTTCATCGTCTTGTGAAGTTACACCGAAATTTCTATTAATGACTGATCTGGTATAATTGACTTAATCTTTCGTCTTCGATTAGTTATTGGCTTCCATAGTATTATTATATGGTTAATAATTTTCATCGATTAACTGCCAAATTCGTATGTTCGTTCATCATGTTGGCTTTACTGTTTATTGTGTTCAACTTTCATTTCTGAGCATTTAGTTTAATCTACTTAATGTATCTTTAATTTCAGCTTTGCTGAAAATCTCAAGTTATTTATCGACCTTTATTAAAATTCGAGTTAAATTCGAAATTTTGTTCAACTCTTTATTGTTTCATTTTAGCCAATTTATTATCGCCATATATGAATTACTTCAAAAGTTTTCTTAAAATTGTATCAACATTACAAAACCAAATCAAATACAGTAAGGGCTGAGATTATGAGACCCTCTCGGAATTGCTTTTGCTTTTGATTACGAGTGAAAAATTTTCAATCCAGATTTAATAATATTGAACATAGAAGAAGCAATTTATAATAACGGCTGGGGTAATGAGACTTATTGGAGTAGCTTATTGGCTCTATGAGCGATTATTCAATCATTTCAATCTTCTTTAATTGATCGGATTCAGCCCAAATTTTCATTGATTTTTTATGAAAGAAAATTTGATTGAGCTAATTATTATCCAAAGAAATCGGAATAAAGCTTGATGAAATAAATTAGATTCAACGCCTTCTTAAGGAACTGTTAATGAATTGTGTCCCATTATCTCAGCCTTTAATGCAAGAGATTTACCAGATGTATTAATCTTCAGAAATCATGATCTCTCCTTGTCTTCCAGCCAATTTTTCTGATGCTATTTCTTATTTAATTCTGGGTGTTTTTGTTTACAAATTGTACTTATTGATGTTATTACCAATTGATAAATCATTATTATCATTTTTAAATAAAAGTCGGACCTTTATGAATTAAAAACAGAATACCGATTTGAATTAAACCGCCAAGTAAATGTGGGTATCTCAGCTGTGATAAACCGACTTAAGTGAAACCTTCAGACATCGCCTTTTAACATGCAATTACTTGTATGTTTTGCTCTCACTTTTATTAATTTTCTTCATTGAATCAATCATTAATTTTTAATAATTTGGTGCGTTTGTTCATCAACTCTTCAGTTTTGTTTCCCAGTGACATATTTAAGAGTACAACATAGGAACTATATAAATTTAATGTTCCTATGTTGTTCTGAATTTTACAGTCACACATAAAAAGACTATCTTTTTATTCACAATTATAGTGATCACGATTGTGGTTTCTCTTTTCTATTAATTTTTGCTGATTTTATTGCCATTGTTGGATACACCTCCAAATGTCTACTTGACTTGTGTTGGAAACACTTGGACTCATACAATTGTGTCTGTTAGTTTATTTTTGATCGTTTTGAAATTTATTTCTCTCTGACTCCTCGTATTATGGAACGTGGTGAAGTGGAAAAATTAAGAGAACATCTCTCTTTATTAAGAGAACAGTATGTCAAATTACAATCCAAAAATTCTGAGATTGAACGCAAATATAATGTTCTGGTGGCAAGTGCCGGAGAAACCAACGAGAATCATTTTGTTAACCGTCTAATGAAAACTATTGCCAATCTATTGGATAAAGAGGATTATAGTGATTGTACCATTTTGTTGAACGGAGGAGAAATCAAGGCTCACAAATTTATTCTTAGCTCAAGAAGTGACCATTGGGGCGTTGAAGATCTGAATGAAATTAGTACTCTCGATTGGAAGGATATACCTTACGATACTGGTTTAGTTATTTTGAAATGGATTTACACCGACCAAATTGATTTAACAAGTAATATAGAAGAAACTATCTTAACCATCATAAAAATAGCCAAGAGATTTCATTTAAGCTCTTTAGTGGAGAAATGTGAAGAATCACTGATGTCTTTTGTTAATGTCCGTAATTGTGTAAAATTTTACCAAATTGCTGATGAAATTCAAGCTGATGTACTCAAAAATCACTGTTCTCAGTTAATTTCCAATTACTGGAATGACTTTGGCTCTGATGATTTTGCTCATATGTCAGCTTCCCTTCTTTTTAATATGTTCAAGGCAAAGACGAGATTTCCTCTTCATCAAGCAATCAAAATCAAAAGAGAAGATGTTGTCTTTCTATATCTCATTGAATATGACAGTCAACTATTCACCAAAATCAATGAATTCGATGAAAGTGGAGAGATTCCATTAAATTTAGCTCTAAAAACTGGTCAACTTAGTATTGCTAAAACTTTACTTCGCCATCAAGCTAACATTAATGCTGTGGATGACAACTCGCGAACTTTATTACATCGTGCCATTGAACGCGATGATGGAGAGTCGATTAATTTCTTGATTGAATCGAGTGCCTCTGTTCATATTGCTACATCAAAGGAAAAGCTTACTCCATTACATCTAGTGTGCTCCAAAAAATTGTCTGATCCTACAATCTCTACGAAATTACTTGCTGCCGGATCAGATCCAAATCTTCAAGATGCAGAAGGGAACACTTGTCTTCATCTGGCCATTTTACATGATAATGAAATTGTTTTCAATGAACTTCTAGAATATCGAAATATATCACTAGATACTAGAAATGCCAAAGGATTTACACCATTAACATTGGCTCTCTCACAGCTTGAGAGCAATGACATTTTTGCTATCAAGTTAGTTGAAAAGGGTGCCTCTGTTGATTCTTCGGACCCTTCATCCGGCAATTCATTGTTGCATATTGCTGCTTCTGAGAAAAATGAATCTGCTGGCATTTTCTTGATTAACCATGGAGCAAAGATTAATGTTACTAATAAAAAAGGCGAGGCTCCTTTACACATTGCTGCGTCCCTTGGTTTGGAGAGGTTGGTCAAAACATTATTGGAAAATGGTGCCAATTGTAACATTGTTACTTCATCAACTACAGTTAACAGTAGTGATCCTTTTGCTTCACCAACTGAAAGAATTTCCAGCGATGAACTGCAAGTCTTTAATCAAACACCGTTGCATTTAACGGTTCTCAATAAACATGAAAACATAATTCGTATTATTTTGAGTTGTAAAGCATCTGATGGTAAAGACCTTGGATCGTCTATCACCCTCCCAAATCTAAATATCAAAGATTCAAATGATGAAACACCTCTTTCTATAGCAATCAGATTGAAGTTATTAGATATTGCTCAGTTATTGATTGATGAAGGAGCCAATGTTAATATTAAAGACTCAACTGGATATACATTACTTCACAAAGCAATCATTAATGAGGATTCTAGAGGAGCTTTGTTCCTCTTAAATCATGGTGCTGATATTAATCTTTCCACGCCAAATGGTGAAACACCATTACAATTAGTTGTAAAACATCAACTCGAATCAGTCTTAATCGATTTGTGTTCTAAAGGAGCTGATGTAAATACACTTGACGAGAATGGAAACTCTCCGCTCTGGATTGCCTTGGAAAATAAAAATGAAGATATTGCATCTATTTTGGTACAATATGAATGTGATACAAACTGTTGGGGTGAAGGGCCTGGTGGCTGTTGGCAAACCATTCTTCATCGATCTCTCGACGAAAATAATGAGTTTATCGCTGTTTTCCTTATTCGAAGTGGATGTGACCTCAATTCACCTCGTAAACCATCTCCTGATGGTAAAGGTGACGAAGAGGCTCACGATGGCCAAACACCGTTGCATATGGCATGTGCTTGGGGACTAGAGAATGTTGTACAAACATTACTCGAGTTTGGAGCAAGTGTAAATATTCAAGATGCCGATGGAAAAACTCCTCTTCATATTGCTATTTTTAATCAACATTCAACCATAATATCTCTCCTTCTCTGTCATCCCTCTCTTAATCTTAATTTACGAGATCGTAATGGATGTACACCTTTTGCCACAGCAATGAGCATAAAAAACAACAAAGCTGCTCAAGAGATTCTCAATCGGGACCCCAATTCGGCGGAAAAGTATGATGCCAAAGGATACAATTTTCTTCATACCGCAATTAAACGTGGTGATATTGAAAGTGTCCTCTTCTTGTTATCAATTAATGTTAACATTCATTCTCGAGTCCAAGATCCAGTCCAAATGACACCTCTCCATTTATCTGTTGAATGTGGATCAGAGTTGATTCTTAGAAATTTACTTTTGGCTGGTGTGAACATTAATGATGTGACCGCACAAAAGCAAACTGCTCTCCATATTGCCGCTGAACATGATCACAGTGTTATTGCAAGTATTTTGTTGGAAAAAGGAATTGATTTCAATGTTGCCGATATTAATCTTAATAATGCCTTACACATTGCATGCCAAAAAGGTCACCTTGCAACAGTAAAAGTTCTAATGAACGAGTCAACAATTCAATCTGACGCTTGTAACGCCAAGGGACAAACTCCTCTTCATCTTGTTGCCCAATTCGGGCGGGATAATGCTGCTGCTATTTTTGAACATTTCATTGCATGTGAGCCTGAATATCCAATCAATAAGCCTGATGCAGAGGGTAACACTGCTTTATTGCTAGCATACATCAATGGAAACGTTAATCTCTGCCGTGCTTTAGTTAAAAATCGAGCTTGCCTAGGAACAAGTAATAAAAGCGGCACCAATTTGTTTAACTGTCAAGTAGCAAGTAATTCACTTTTATATAAATTATTGGATTCATTAGATGCAGAACCAGTTTGGACTGAGGGCAATGACTGTTCTGAATGCTCTCGAAAGTTTAGCATCCAATATAGGAAACATCATTGTCGCCATTGTGGTCGTATTTTGTGCTCTAACTGTTCTGCCAAAATGATTACAATTCCCAAATTTAACCTAAACAGATCGGTACGAGTTTGTGAAATTTGTTTCGATGTATTAATGATGGGATTCTCAGCATAAATTTTTGTTTAATTTATCGTCTACGTTTGTGACATATCTAAAAGTTATATACGAATCAATTTTTTCTTTCACCCTGTTTCGGAAATAAAAAAAGCTGAGCGCAAACATGAAAAAGTACATTCCGATCAAACAATAAATCAATCTATTTTATTTGATTAATTTTTAAGTCTCTTTTTTATTTCGTTTAACAAATGCTCAATGATCGTAGCTTCTTCAAATTTTTATCGGACATTTTTAAAACACTTGTATTTAATTCTCATTTCTGATAGTAACCTAAACTGATTAATTATAATTGTAGGTATCACCGGGTTATCAATGTTTACTGCTGCATTCATCAGATAATTACGATCAAAACTAAACATTAACTGATTGCAATAACTGTGCCTACGTTATTCAATATCTTCAGGAGAATAACAATAGAAATAGAAATATTTAATTTTAGATCATAGGTTGATTTAAATCAATCTTTATTTCGCTAATAATATCTCATATTAAATTCTTGATGAATAATTTCTGGTAAATAACTCACATCAATTTCAACAGTTCAACTGATCCCGCGCTTCCAGTGAATTGGACAGAATTTTAGTAACTTTGGTAACCGAGCTTGATGGCAATAACAAACTCTTTAAATCTCATGTTGCTATAATTTTCTTTTTTGATAATTCCTTGTTATTAATTGTAATCAAATCATTGTCATCATGGCTTCAAATAATAGCAATAATAATAACAATAGTTCCACTCCTAATATCAAACTTGAGGACATCGATTTTGAATTTTTACCATTAATTTATGACATTATTAGAAGGTAAGGTTTTTTTGCTAATTTTTGAAATAACTTTTTTAAGATCTACAATCTAATTATTTCTAATGTTTATCTTTCATCTAAATTTCTACTCTTTCTTAAAGCATCGAAAAAGAGCTGAATGAAGGTAGCAGTGTTGGACAAAAGGCTATACATCGAGAGCAAACGGAAATTCCTGCTAAAATGCAATTACTCAATGATAAATTCAAAAAGTGTCGTGAACAGCTGATGAAAATTGAAGGAATTGACATAACCAAGGAACAGCAACTCAAGCAATTGGAAAATCTCAGTAAACAATTGGACATGAAAAGACAACTTCTTACTCAGTATAAAAACTTTTCACCAATTGAAAGTTCCTCCCAAATGCATACATGATATCTGTTGATCATCTAGTTTACTCCTTATTTATCTCTCTTATTTACCCTGTAATTGTGTATCTTATTAATTTCATTATCATGTAAATATCTATTTTGTTATGATAGAAACACCTCTATTAAAACAAAGATCAACGATTAATAACGAACGATACAATAAATGAGTTATCAACTTGACTTCAATTGAACAAAATTTGTTTTTTGTCAGTGAATAAAAAATTGAAATCAAGATTTGTTTATTCTAGCCTAATGGCAAGTATGGCGACCTAATCCGTGTTTATTTCTCCATTCAATCTTGATTATACCCAATATTTATCATGGCTCATAAAACATGAAACAAATCAATAAACAAAAGAAAAAAACACCCGAAAGCAAGAACAATAGTTTTAATCAAATTAGTGATTGCACTGACTGCTTATGTAGACGTGTTACTCTGTGATTTCTTCTAAATTGCTTTTTCCTTTCAAACATTCAGTGTCATGAATTATTTTTATATGATCACTCATGGGTAGATCTTCTTTGTGATAGCACAAAAGGTCATAATTGAATTGAACCTTTGCACTGCCAACCGAAAGCATTATCTTGTTTCTGGTCTTGATTTACTTTGATTGAAAGAGGTGGAGGACAAAATAGCTAAGGTTGAAAATGAGGGTAAAGATTAAATGAAATTTTTTGAAAGGATTCTCAAAAGTTAAAAATAATGAATCAAGAGCGAAATCGACGGAACGGAAAAGATCTTCAAATTTTAGGCTTCAAGATCTTCCGGGTGTGATGAGAAGATGAAAATTTTTGCTTCAACTAATGATGATTTTTCAAGTACAAGGATTCAGTAAGTTGGTTACTAAAAGATCATTAAGGGAATTGTCGGTGGTTTTTTACTTATAAAATGTTTTCCAATGGTTTTATCCATTTCAATGTCTTTCTCATCATTACATTAACCAGTGTTTTGTCCTTACCAGTGGTAAGTTCATCTAAATGTTCATCATTTATTGTAAAGCTTTGATTAAATTACATATCTAAATTGAATTCTCTCTTAAATTACATTTCCATCATTAATTTCCGTTCACTGATTCGATTCCAATTTCATCAGATGCGAATGCGATTGTGTATTGCTTCAAATGATCCTTATCGGTTACAAAGTCAATGTGTTATGTGTCACAATAAGAGGTTTGTCAAAACAGTTAGACAATGCACTGGAGGGGTAAGTCGATGTAAATTAACTTATAAGCGAGACAATTTGTCCATTTAATCAGTACTTAACGGCTCTATCTAATTTATGGTTCTTATATTTAGACCTATTTACCAGCAAACGTTTCTGTGGAGGAAGGTTTTTGTATGATTAAACAATGTCGATTGGTATGTTAGATTTTCAAATTTTCAATATCAAATTGATACAAATATAAGACAGTAAAATCTTAACATCTTTCCAATCATAGCAAATGCCTCTGGTCCCACCGCAGCCATATAATACACTCGGAAACAATATCAATTTAAACACGGTGCAAACGGATAATCTGTATTCAGGTTATGAATCAGCCCCAGATTATCAATATCAACTTCCAAAGCCAATTAGAGTTCGTCCACCAGCAGTACTTCATATTGGTAAACCAGTACGACCAGGTAAGTTGGACCAAGCTTTAATTTATTATTGAAAAATGACTAAATATCATTTTTTTGTTCCTACAGGACTTTTAACGGGCAGGCCACTTTTATTCGGAAAAAGAAGTATCGATTCTAGATTACATGGTAATACTCAAGATACCTCACGAAACATTACAAGTAAGTTGTTGGTTCACGAGCTGATGAATTCTTAAGGTTTGTATTTATTCAGTTTTGCTGCAATTAGTAATTGATAAAAAACAAATTGGCAGGTCTATAAGGTTCATATTATGTAGAAAGTGCCGTTTATGCATACACGTTTCTAAAGTCTACTTTCCCGATATTGAGACCTTTCTTTCGCGAATCACGATGAAACGTATTTAAAAAACCAACGATTCTTTATTTATTGATAATTTACTATCGAGTACCAACTCTTTTGAGCGTTATTTTAAATAGATAAACCAACTTAACCAAATTTTTGCCTTCCTGCACCTGCAAGTTTTACTTTGATTTCATTTTTTCGCTCAGTCATAATGCTCTTATTGAAGACCATAGCTGTCAATCAATTTCTTTGCATGGTTTACATAAGCAGAACGAGCTTCATCCTTGGACATGCCTGAATCAAAAAAGATCAGAATAATTTAAAAGAAATTTAGAATAAATCTTCTCTTTTTAACCTCATAAAGAAGTTCTAATTATGTTAGTTTACCTTTTTTTGCATCCCATGCATCCCATTTGGCTTTGCCTTTAAAGTCCAAAATACCTGGTCGATCTAAAGATTAAGAAAAGCATAAATTAAATGATTTGTATCAGTTTCAATGGCTGATGGTATTAAATTAGTACTTCAAGGAAGTAAAATACAGAACAGAATAAATCAATTCAGAACCAAACTCAACAATGATATGACTAACACTGATCAAATAAACAACAATAATCAAACAGAGCAACGCATATAAAATGAAATCATCTAATTATTATACTTCGAGTTTAAAGACATCACTTTGTACTGAACAAGCACTCACATATCTTTAGATTGATGATGAACAAGCAATCCTTTAATAATCTAAAGATATTGGATAAGCAATAATAAAACTTACCAGTGTTACAATCTCCTTCTGATGCCTGCTTGAAAAGAGCGTACAGTTCGAGTAACTCTTGATCAGTTGGTCTTGATTTGAGATTTTTCACATCTTCAGCAGCTTTGTCGAAATCCTAAATGTTAAATGTAACGAAAATCAATTAACCAAACAAAATTAAAATTGAAAATCAGTAATTAATGAAAATATTAAAGACAAAACAAACCTCTTGGGAAGCCATTGTTGATGTAGTTGGTATGGTAACAATAAATAGAGGAAAAAACTGTTTACTGGTTAAGGTTACGTTAAAACTTGTAACGATGAGAGTTGACTGATGAGTGAAGCTTTCAAAATCAAATTACACCAACAATAATTCATAAAATAACTTGTTTCTAATTTTTTATATTTGATCTTTCCTTTGTAAACAACTTAGGCAAGTCTTACCTTTAAGATTGATTTAATCGTCTTCCCTGATTGGAGAGAATTCAATGTTTAAGGTGGAGATGTTGTGATTTAAAACCTGATTCTGTTACTCTTGATTTCCCGGAGGAGAAAATTTACCAATCATTCATCCATCATCATCAAACTAGAATCAACATTCCCATGATTATGTCTTTCTAACCAATCCTCAACTGGTCTCATAATCATTTTCATACTATCTTCTTACAAAAAAAACAACAAAACATCTACATAATCATCGATCTTATCATCATACTTTTTGTGTTCCTTCAACATGCAACCCACCAAACAACTTTCTAGGCCTTTTCTTTATAAGGGATGAAACTACATTGAATGTTACAGCAATCTTATCTGACAATGAGTATAATCATGTTAATCTTGATGTGCTGTCAATTCGGTACATCAAATGGTCCTTACAAAAGGCAGAAGGATTTAGGTTTGGATAAGACCGTCACCCCAAGCTTACATTAAATGTTATCAAAATGTTCGAGTCTTTAGGCAAGACTTCCTCAAATTGTTCATATGCTGGTTGATTTATGGTTAATTTATTTTTCATTGATTGTCCCCTGAAAAGTTACGTTAGAGATGAACACAAAAAGTCAATTCTACGCACTTGTAAAGCGAATCTGAATAAAAAATACTATTTTCTGCATAACCATCAAACTGATTTTGATTCACTGGAACATGAAATCTTGAAATTAGATTATGATTATAAATACAAATCAGGAAAGCAAGATCAACTTCGAACTTTTTAAAGAAAGATTAGCTCAAAAAGTGAAGAATAATCCATTGAAGTTCCTTAATTAATCCGAATTGTTTGAAATTTCATGGTGATAGCATTTCTGGTTTTTCTGGTTCAATTTAATCATTTACTTATCCTGGACCAGCTTTAACTGGAACCATTGGCTTGTTCGTTCTATCATTATGTAAATAATAGTTAATGAACTTTAAATTGTTTATCCCGAATTGCAATCTGATCCTCAATCCAGAAAAACCAGATTAAAAAAGCTGAATCTGATTAAAAAGAAAGAAGATTTGTTTTTTCAAATCACCCGGACGATATCGCTTAACTAAATTGAAATGGTTTGCACAAATAGATGTCATTAAATGGAAATCAAATCTCCGTCAATTCATAGATTCCAGATTCTAGTTATGAAATAAAGAGTCAGATAATGTTTAAATGCATAAAATTAAATTAAATTTGATATCGATGATTATTTACAATTTGCTTTACATTGTTAAATTACACAATAATATTAAGACGAAGCTACAATTAACAAGAAATAATGACGATAAATTATTTTGGGTTCATAATTAAATTAGGGAAGTGGATAGCATTGATGAATTATTTTTCAGGCATGAATTTTCGAATCGGTGGAATTTCACTTGCATATCCGAAAATATGGCCCATTCCTAAATAACCGGTCCTACTGAATTCATTATCAAGAATAGTTTGGAACTGTTGTGGTGATATTTGATTGAGCAAAGATGATCCATCGGTGATGTTTTTATGAACTGATAAATGGTTACGTGATTCTAGGTGATGTTGGGTTGAGTCGATGGACGGAGATCGATTAGAATCATCTACATAATATTGTCTGTGCATTCGATGATGTCGATGAGTGTGAGAAGTCTTCTTTCCTAATTTCCTTTGTCCAATTTTCTTGTCAGGTTTGGGTTCATCTTCAGCTGGGTAAGGATAGTCGGTGTATTTAGGAGCTTTCGGTGGTTCCATGTGTGGATGAAGATTATTGTCATACTCGTCTACATACTTGACAATCTTTTCACGTCGGTAAGGTCGTTTTTTAGGTTCCTGGTCTTCTCTACTAACTGAACGCCAATTATTACTCAATGATTCTCGCTGATTGTAACTCTTTGTTGGCTTAGATTGATGGCGACGATGAACTATTGGATCTTTTGATGAGTAAAACGGCTTTCGATGTTCAGTTTTCATGATTGGTTCGTCTTCTCTGTGCTTATCGGGAATGTATCCTAAATTTTGTGGCATATCGTCATGATGATCATTATGTGGTGTAAAATAGGATGGGTCAGGGCCATGAGAATTGTCATCGTCATAATTTCTTTCATCGTTTTTTCTTCCAGGTGAACTGACACTGTCAAATGTTCTATCGTAAGAATCTTCCAATCGAGAATCCGATGGTGGCGGTGGTGGTGGTGGTGGAGGAGGAGGTGGAGGAGGACCTCCACTTGGGGGTCTTCTAGGTTGACGAGCAGGTCGATAGCGTTGATTTCTTTTGCCTCCATAATGATCTCTTGGGGGACCAGATTTGCCTACCTTAAAACCTTGCATGGCAAAATCGTAAGGAGTTTGGAATTTTTCTTCATCTTCATCATAATTCTGTTCCCTGTACTTTTTAGGTTGCTTTTCTTTTCGCTTTCGTTTTTCGCTCTGTTTGCGATGGTTTTCTTTAAAGTTATAATCTTCTAGAAAGAATCCGGAATCCTTTCGATTACCATTTTGGTGAGATGATCCTGAATCATGAGCCATTTTATGATCTCCGTTTTGTTTCGCCACTTCCTTTACAGCTGCTTTGTCAACTTCATCTGAAAAAGTTCAATAAAAAATGTATTAACTTGTCATGTTATTTTGTAAATTTAATAATTTAATGGACTTACGGTGTTCATGGTGGACTTTTTTCCCATGTTGCTCGGTGTGCTTCTTGTCACCTTCGTCCTTTTCTTTTTCAAGATGAGTTCCTTGATCCCAGCTCCAGCGTTTGACAAAACCATCACCACGATTCCATGATTTTTTCACATATTTATCATGATCCTTGTGAATCTTTTGATCTAAATGAGCGATTCCAGAAGCCTGATCTAGATCATGTTTAGATTTATCTGCTTTAGCTAATCCAACTTTCCCTTTATCAAGAAGAGAACCTTTCATAATACCATTGGAACGTCCTGAATCGGATTCATGTTTAACATGTAAATCTTCTTCAATCAGATCGTTGCCAATCTCACGGTAATGGTTATCATTTTCATCATATCCTTTTGGGCCATAAGAACGTTTAGTTTTACTTTTAGATGGATTCAAATCACTTGTTGTTACATGTTGAGGTTGCTGTTTAATATCTGGCGGTCCAGTCGGCTGAGGTAGAGATTGGGGAAGCACAAGCGTATCCGAGGTTGGTACTGGAGTAATCACTTGAGATGGTAGATCAACATTTTTCTGAATTTCACTGGCTGTTGAACAATGGATTAGGAAAATTGTAGAAACTAACAGTTTGGAAGTAAACTGTGATATCATTTTGATGGTTTACTGTTTGCTTTGCTGCTGGTTTCTGATGACAAACAGTACATTTCTGTTTACTTTTATACCATTTTATTTCCAATGGCCAACTCACTTATTTTTTCTGGTTAATCCTTCCATTGTTTGGGTTTATTTAAGGCTTGGTTTCCACTTTAACCGAGTGACATGTTTTTAATTTGATTGATTAAATTAATCGACAATTTATCTCAATTGTTTCATTATATCAAGTTTGTTTAAAATTGTATTCTCATTTGAATTTTCATTATCAAGTTCAACTTTGTTTACTATTGACCGTTTAAATTTACGTCTTTTTGTAACTTATTATATCCTTTATTTTGTGTTACTGGTTCACATCAACAGTTTATTAAAGTGCAACAATTCAAAGAAAGTTAATTATCATGTGAATATTGGCAGATACTAATGAACAATAGCCAATTCAACTTAATTTGATGTTTATTTCATGTACACTTAACTAATTTGGTTTGTAGTTTCCTAGGAAAACAATTTGACCTAACTAATTGTTTCATTCATCATCTTAATTGAAAGAGAGCCTTAATTAACCTGATCCAGGCTTGAATCAAGATTCACTGAAGTGATAAGTTCAGCTTATTATAAAATGCGTTTTATTTTTTTCCTGTTCGGATTAATAACTCGAGAATCCCTGATGTTAATACAAGAAATGTTTCAATTTTCACGATTTCATGAGATGTTGAGATGATTTAACGGGCAAATAAGATTATTGGTGATGGCAAGTACGATTTTTAAGAAAAATTAAGATCTGGATTAAATTGAATCAAGAAAATTTCAAAAGCAATTTTAAACACAATTGATGAAAAATAATAAAATATAATAGCTTAACAGCGCCGTCTATTGGTGCAATAAACAAGGCGAGGCTCAATCTTTTCCTCTATTTTGTTTTTGTTATGTAAGTGCTTTCATCAAATCATTTTACTAATAATAATCCATTCTTTTTATTTCTGACATTATTTGAATTTTAAAAACAACGAGTCAATTAGTTAAAGGTTAAAATGCTGATCCAAGTCAAAGAATTCCATGGCAATGAGAAGCCTCTTCAGGTAAGTTTGATTATTTTTAAGTCTGTTAGCAATTTTTCAACTTGCCTAACATTAATCTTTCAATAATTTTCGTCCTTTCTCATTCAAAAGGTTCCCTCAGATGCGAGTATTCTTCGGTTGAAGGAAGAGATTTCAAAAGTATTCCAATTGCCTGTCCATAATCAAAGACTGATGTATAAAGGGAAAACTTTAGCAAGTAAGTTGATCTCTCTAAATTCATTACCATCCGTTGAGTAAATATTTCAATCAGGTGTCACATGTCAGTTGTTCATCTAAAGGTTCCGCTGTAATTGGAAATTACAAATGATTTGATTTTAGTCATACAATGAATTCACACAACCATATACCAGAATATAAATCTGACAATTCTCGGTTTGATGTCATACCATACTTACACACCTTGCACATTTCATCCTAAGCTAATTATTTTTTTATTTTCCTTATTTCCTTTAGATGATAAAACTCTGTTGGATTATAATTTTGAAGAGGGTAGCAAGGTCAATCTATTCAAAGTTTTCGAAGGCGCATCGGAGAATCAGCCTCCCGGCTTCTGGAGTGATTTAAGCACTTTCCTTCGAGGATACTATGATGGTGAAGATGTCAATAAAATAATTGAGCATATGAAAAAAGATATGTCAGCTAATGTAGATAGTTTAAATTTGGAGGATATTGAAAAAATAGCTTGTGAAAAATTGAGCTTACCCAAAGATTAAAAAATATATATCTCAAATAATTATGTTTATATGATTCCCTTTAATAAATCTTCACCTTTTAGCCATTTATTAACTCTATCAATCATGTTGATTATTTTACTCACTGAACAATAAAACTTCAATTTATATGAACTATGACTATGAAATATTGTGAAATATCTAAGTTCTTCTAAAATTTCCTTTTTGACTCAATTCTTCAGTTCTCCAATCATGCTAAGTATTGAAAGAATTTTTGTTCGTCACACTAAAAGTGAAACAACAACCGACGTTAAGCCATCGATTGGTCGCATTCGAGCAATCTTGGGTCATTGGGGGATAATTTTATTCATAAGTCTTCTCCTGATCTCTCAGTACATTCGTTATTATACACTAAGGACTGGTCATTGTGATTTCGATGGATGTTTATCATTGGATTCGGTTGACAAAAATGCATCATTCTGTTCATTCTGTAAAATAGTCTGGTTTGATCAATTCATAATTGACTCTGATACCAGAGTTGGAGTTAGATTGGAAAATTTGAAAACCTTTCTCTTCATTTTATACATTAACCTGGCCAGTTACCTATTCATGTCTCTCGGATCTTACTTTATGAATTCATATTTTCTCATAATCTACCTAATTGCTCAAGCCTTTTGCCTTCTCGTTTTTACCATTAAAATAATGTTTGTGTTTATCGTGGAATCTTCAATAATTACTCGCTTCATTTTATGTCCATCTTGGAATTGCTCTCTTCTCTGGTTGGTTATTTATGCAGCCAGTATATATTTTATAGTGAAGAGTGCTTATCTTTTAGCTGAATTTAAACCTTTGGCTGAGTTTAGTTTCGCTAAAGATCTTTTAATATCTCTCGGCAGTATTGATAAACACTGGACAACGACCCTAACTGAAGAAAAGATTGAGGGTCAAGGCACTAAAAAGGAGGACGCAACAGAAATCATTGGAAATGATCAGAATGAAGTATTAGAGTCACCAAAATCAGACCAAGTTTTACAATAACATGGTTTTAGAAAGGACAAAAATGGATGATTTGTGGGGTCAATTAATAATCCAAAACTGCCACTTAATTGTATTTTATCTTGTATCTTCTACTTTTAAAGATCAGCTGTTCAACTCAGTTTGTGAACCATTTTTGATTAACTGTATTTTCCTGCTAAATCGTTTTCCTCCTTGTTTTTAATCATCTCTGCCCTTTCCTCTTCATTTAATTTTTTATATTAATATAAAGATCAACAAATCAATTGTGTTTCAAGATTTGGACTCGAATTTCAAATGAATTCATATACAGTTTAAAATTGTTTCACAACTCAGTTCAGCTGTGATTCATCCAATTTTTAATGGAGATTTCAGCTGAAAAGAGAAGGATAATCTTATCAATCAATGATATGGAAAACTGATTATGAGTAAGTATAGTTTCCTTTTGTATTTCTCAATCTGAAATAGTTGTTATAATACGTTTCATGTATTTCTCCTTCTAGTACATTGTTACGAAAAAATTCTGGCTGTTAATCGTTTGAATAACTCATTTATTTCCTGACCTTTTGTTTTTTGATTTAAGTGTGCCTATCTATGGTTAGTGAGATAGGATACCTAGTGAATAACAAATGGAGCAAACATCTCGGGAAATTGATGTGAACAATGAGAGTAAAGAAAACCAAGAAAGTGATGAACTACCTGCCACAAACAACGAATTATTTAAATTCCTGAAATTTCCTGCAATAAAACCTGATTCACCTATTCCAATCCAGCCTTTCCTCGATGCCTGTCGAAGCTTAATCGATTTTGTAACCATTTTAGGACCAGTATTTATTCCAGTTAGATCAGACATTGGAGGAAATGTTGACAAATTGACCAAAATTTTAAACACCGATCCATCAAGGTTTACTACTCTCAATTCAATCATCGAATCAGAAATCGGTTTGTCCAGTGTTAAACAAATCGGAACTGATGCACTCTTATGGCTAACTCGAGCCTTGCAATACATGAATATGTTTCTATCTCTATTGGTCGATGATTACAGTAGTGATCACAATGGTGAACTATCAAATGATTTAACCAAACATTTTACTCTCGCATACGATTCCACCTTGAGGAAACATCACAATTGGATTGTTCAGAATGTGGTTCATCTCAGCCTCAAAGCAGCACCATCTCGAAACACCATTATTAATCTTCTTTCGCCTGAAATCAATTCGTCTGCTGGTATAGACAAAGAGAAAGAAAAATGCCTTTATCAGGAAATGAACGATTACAGAGAACTAGTTGAAATAAATATTAACTCTATCCATCAACTATACGATAGGTTAAGCATTGAATATTGAATAATTCCTGATCATGTTTACTAGGAACGTCAAAATTTTAATTAATACACTTCTTTTTCGTGTATACATCCCATGTATGAAATTTTAATTATACACTGTCTTATTTTTGTTTTGGATTAAATGTCCCTTAATTTGAAGACGTAAAGTGATTCTTATAATAATCCTAAACTTCGTGTATATACACTTAGAGAGTGATTAAAGCAATAAGTTAACTTATGTTTCATGTTAACCCGAATCGGCAGAGAAAATGTGAAATTCCATTCACCATATCAATGAAATTCACAAAAAGCCGGTCGTTTTATAACAATTCATGAAAGTCGTGAAAGTGGCTCATTTAACTGTTTACTAGAGTACAAGAATATTAAAATAGATGCTTAAAAACAATTTAATTTATTCAATATTATTAAATGTGTTGATTAGATAAATAATGGATTATTAATGAGATGAATACACAAGATATAAATATTTTCCTATCATTATAATTATGAAATGAATTGGTTAGGAATGGATAAAAGAAATCTGAAGGCAATTGAAATCGGAAAATTGGTGGAGGTGCAAATTTAGTCTCAATTGGGAAAGTTAAGTCAATGTAGTTGACTGTCAAGGAGAGTTCAATCAGAAAATTATTATTTTTGTGTCGGCAAAGAAGGGAATGACATCGAAGACGAAAGTCAACTGGTTTATTGAATCTTTTAACCGCACTGATGATTTTTGCCTGAGATTGAGATTCTTGGCCCACTAAGGCATAATAGATATCAAGGGAAAAGCCGGTCACCAAGGCTGGACATCTTTCATCAGCAGTTAATCTGGGAACAGAATCTGATTGAAGTATTTGAGGTTCATCGTCGACTAAAATTGGAATCCAATCAGATGGATTAGAAATGTTTGGATTCCCAAACATGGCAACATAAGTCAAATCCTTATTTACGCCATCAAGCAAGTCCATAATTTCTCGTTGAATTGATTGGCACATTTTATTTTCCACTAAAAAACGAGATGTATTCAACATACAGCCTGTTCTGTAATTAGAGCCAAATCTAACAGTTTGCTGGATCATTGGGTTAACCGTGCACTGTCCATTGCCCTGAGAAAGTGACGGTATTCTGTAGTGATTAATTTCACTTGAGCTGTTGTTTGATAAAGATGAATTACGGAATAAAATTGGTTTCCCAAAAATGTAACCTTTATTCCCACTGAATTCATGGGAAGGAAATGTCTTATTAACCAGATAATTTTCATTTGGCTTGAAGTTAACATTGAATGTTTGCTTGATTGGTAAGTTTTCAGTTAACTCTGTAAATCCAAAAGATAACCGAATCAAGTCGATACCATCTTTTGGGTCGTAATAAAATGTATAATTAACCACATTTACGACACCTTCACAAATCTTTGCTTGCAATTTTGTATTTTGAACCAATCTAGTAGCATTGAGGTTGGAATCTTTATCAGGCCAATGAATAGCAATACATTCATTGAGATACATGCAATTAGGTATGGATAATGTGACCATTTTACTCTGGACATTCCGAGCATCAGCTGTTTGACTTTGCTTATTAGTTGAGGTTGATGTCTTGGTTGTTGTGGGCAGCTTCACGGATTGTTTTTCTGATGAAGTGTATTCAATTTGGTAATAAGTCCTGGTTTCTGGTTCCATTGGTTTTGATGAACCCATTTTGCTGATGTAAATGTTTTCATAATAAATGGATGCTCCTAAAAACTGGTTGGAAATGCATTCCTGTTGGTAATCTTTAATGTCTCTTACACACGAATGAGATGAGTCTTTGAGGAATAAAATTGGTCTCAAAGTATCACAAAATCCTTGTGATACCAACAAGCTTCCAGGTAATCTGAATATATCGTTAATTTCAACTCCACGAGAAGTTATCGAAGTGGCAACAATTGGGTCTCCATATCGAAAACCTTTACCATGAGTTGATGTAAAGATTTCATCTTCTTCTTCATGTGAATGAGACCAAGAAAAGGTTGATGTTAAGGCTGATGCAGAAGATGTTATGATTTTACGATATTCTTGAACATTTGTCACAGACTTTCGATCTGGATATGTTTTGATGTTTTTCACATTATCATTAAAAACGCAGAATAAACTTGAGCTCGATTCCTTCACTAAAATTGACCTTCTTGTATTGTTTTGATACACGGGATACTCTTTGAAGCAATATTGATCCAATTGTTTTGAATGTTTGACAGATTCACAATAAGCAAACATTACTCTCTCCTCATCGTTGCAATCTTCATCACAACAGCAATTCAAGTCACAAAATCCAGCTTTCAGATCGCAAGAACAATAATCATACCTTGAGTCAAACGGCACTTGACTCAATTGATATTGGTTACGATTATTAGCGACTCTATCAGCCTCTGGTTTTGATTTAGATTCATTCATTGATGGATAAGTGACACTTTCATTGTTCATAGTAATGTTTACTTCTTCAATTGATGAGTTGGCCACGGAAGTTAAATTTTGTCCCAATGTTGAATTATCTTGACCACCAACCCAATAGAGTCCAATAAGAGACAAAGAAAATATAAACTGAAGGATTGTTGGTAATGATTTCATCTCTCTGCTGGTGCTTATTCAATCAGCTTAGTTCAACACCAAATCTATCAAAATTTTTAACAATCAAATATAAATCAAGTAAAATTGTTCCTTTACTTTCCGTTTGGACTCTAAAGCGATCACAATTGTTATAAATTATTTCAGAGTTTCGTAAAATTAAACTTGATCCGGTAAAAAAGGAGTGAATACGATCAGTTATGCCTCCAATAGGTTTCCAAGTATAACATCTAAGTCTATGATAGCCTGGAGTAGATGGAAGGTGGATAAAACCGTAAGAAACAAACGAAATACGCCCAAATGAATCTTCTTTGAAAACTTGAAACTCGAATCGAGGCCAATTCTGTATACCATTTGTTACAAAATGAACGTCAATAGGATGAGACCAGTAGCTGCGAGAATCTATCGATGAAAAATCCACTTGAGTATCACCTGAGCTATTGCCTTCAATTAATTGCCAGTTAGGACCATAAGTAATCTTCCATTTGGCAAATAGACCAGTTTCACCATTGAAATCATCATCAGTGCCAATTATGGAACCAAAACAATGCACTTCAGCCATCTAAAATGACGATTAAAACACAAGAAATTTGTAGTTTGGTTGATTTTGCAAGCAGAAGACAATTTCCCTCCTTCAGTTAACTTGTAAACACAAATATTCATTGTTCACGGTATAATGATGCACTTTTTAAAATAAAGAAATCATTGCTGTTCTAATGATCTAGTATTTAGTTCAATTGATTCACTAATAAAAACAATAATTTCTAACTATTACAATTAATTCACAAGCAAAAAAGAATTAAAATATAAGATGAAAACGGTTAAAAAACGGTTAAAGAAGTGGTTAAATGATCTTAGTTACGCGTCTCCATGTAACAAGATCAAAACAAATCTTTGGGTTCAAAACAAATCAAGCCCAGTGAGTAAACCCATTATAATGTTTGTGTATAAAAGCTAAAATAAAACTCAAGATCAAGCTAAAGATCAAGAAAACAATTCATGTCGATTAAGATGCCAATTGTTGATTAAATTTCAACAATAATTAGCTAGTTTCGAATCGAACTACATTAGCTTAGGTTAGACTCGAAACATTGACTTCCATGTTAACCGGATAATTATGATTTAAATAATTAGTATCAAGCTTTTATTTTAATTTATTTTTATTATTGATGGCAATCTGACCATTGGAAGTGGATGTGGTCAAGGCAACGTGAAAAATACGACAAAAAGGTAAGGCAAAAAGCTGGTTACAGGTTTAAGTGTCTGAAATATTTATGTTTATTTTTGTTTAGTAAAGTAGCAGATAAGACTTGCGATTTGGATCTTCTCGTTTTAGGTTGATTAACCATGTTTGTTGACTACTCAATATAAGAAGCAACATTAGATTAAAAAGCTTGTCCTTCAGCAGAAGCTTCACGACCAGCATTTTCAATCATTGTCTCTCTCAATGCCTTGGCCCATCGAGTGACCATTATAGCGGCTTTATCGGCAGCCTGTCGAACCATCATATCAACTTGACGAGCATTCATACCAGCTGATGGGGCCATTTGATTTGCATGGGCTGCATGAGCTGCTTGAGCTGCTTGGGCTGATTGAGCTGCAACAGCTCGAGCCTGTTGAGCTTGACCATCTTCAAGAAGTTAGGGAAAGAAAGCAGATAATCAGATTTTAATTTGAGTTCCATTCGGTTTTAAAATGATAAAATGGAGACATTTTGTCTTGAATTATAATTTTGACTTACATTCTTGATTAGCGGCATGAAGGCTTCTTGCTGCGTATTCATTTTGAGCAGGGAGTCGTCTGGTGTTGTAAAGGCCGGTTAAAGTTTCTTGAGCGCTGACCTGTTGATTGACAAAACATTATGGATATTAGAGCTAATGTGATTGGGATCACAATTTAACCAGATCTTACCATTGCTGCAATAAGAACAATTAAACTGATCACGAAAAATGACTTCATTGTTGAGTTGGTTTTAGTTTTATCCGTTTTGAACAAATTAACTTGGTAAATCAACAAATTGGGAACGACTTGGTTAATCAATGGATCTGGGAATCATAGTTTTCTCGATTTATATAAGCTAGTACAAAATGGTTGAACAGCAGGATAAAATTACAATTAATGCTGAATTATTGCTACAAAATATCGAAAATTAACTATAAATCAAATCATTCATGATTCACATTATTGTATCATTGATTACTTCCTTGAAGTTTGCATACAAACCACAAATTGTAAAGGTTGATTACATTAAGTATGATCAATTTTTGCTTTCATTATTAGTAATAATTACTGGCTTTATGATTGACATCTTCAGCCGATATTTCACATGATACATCAGCTTAATTAGATTCTTGGATAACTAATATTTAGAGGTTTGCTTGAGAATCGGGATATTACTGCAGCTATGAGGAGATTTGACTTTAGTTTCTTTGGGTTGTTGCTAAAAAACTTGAGACACTTCTGCAAAATTTAAACAAATTGAACGGATGGGCGAAAACGGGTAAAAATGAACTCCATTCAAATCTAGACTCTGTTTATTTGTAGAGACACGAAAACTGAGTCCATTTGTGCAATTTAAAAGTTTCTCTTATCCACAGTTTTCGAGGAAATCAAATTCAAAGATATAACTTTGAACATAAATATTTCGAGAATGACATCTTCTACAATCATTATTCTTTCGCCAAAATAAGTCTCCAATAGTTAGTAATTCAATGCAATCAAATAACTTTAAATGAGCCCATTTGGGTAACGATATTTAAGTTATAAATGCATAAGAAACAACTTTTTCAACAAACAAAACTCATATTAATGCATATCTTTGAAAATAAACCAATTTTCTGGTTAAACTTGCAAATGAAAAACAAAAAGTAACGCCAAAGGCTCGAACATTTGGGTTATAAGTTGAGACTTAGTAGGTTTTGTAGGCAATTAAAAGTTGAATCCATTGGTGCTACTAAATAGTTCATCCGATGAACAGTTTTCTAGAAAATCGAGGTCGAATTTGAAACTTTGATCGCATTTTCTTCAGCTATGGAAGCAGATTTTTTCCCTAAACTTATCTTACTAATATTTATTTTGATGATGAACCAGAAAATGATCTTATTTCGAGAAATAAAATTTCCTTGTTTCTGTAAAACAGTTAAGTTCGATTTTTATCTAAACCGACGCCATTCCATAAGCGTAAGAGTTAGCGAGCTGAAACTTTTGCTTCGTCCATGAAAATCGTATGTACACAGCCATAGCCAAACATATTTTTCAATGCATCAACAGTTCTCTTGATTTTGGCCTTTGAACTGAGATATTCGAACCTCGATATGTCGTGAATGGCAAAACCTACAGACATCATTTTTCGACCAAATATTAGTTTGCACAATGTTCTATAACACAATAAAAGTTGAATCGTTCAAGATATTACAAAAAAAGTTATAG